CCTCCTACCTTCCTCTCCATCTCCCCTGCTGAAGAGAGACCCTCCTCCTACCTTCCTCTCCATCTCCCTGCTGAGAGAGAGAGAGAGAGAGGGAGAGAGAGAATGTGCCTCACCTCCTACTGTCCTCCTCCATCTCCCCTGCTGAGAGAGAGAGAGAGAGAGAGAGAGGGAGAGAGAGAGAGAATATGCCCTCACCTCCTACCTTCCTCTCCATCTCCCCTGCTGGGGAGAGAGAGAGAGAGAGAGAGAGAGAGAGAGAGAATGTGCACCCTCACCTCCTGGCTTCACTCTCCCGTCTCCTGCTGAGAGGAGAGAGAGAGGGAGAATGTGCCCTGCCTCCTGCAGCTGCTCTCCATCTTCCCTGCTGGGGAGAGAGGGGGAGGGGGGAGATATGCCCTCACCTCCTGCAGCTTCACTCCTCCATCTCCCTGCTGAGAGAGAGAGAGAGAGAGGGGGAGAGAGAGAATGTGCCTCACCTCCTGCAGCTATCTCCATCTCTCCCCCTGCAGAGAGGGGGGGGGGAGGGGGGGGGGAGAGAATGTGCCTGCTCCTGCAGCCCTCCTCCATCTCCCCTGCTGAGGAGGGGGGGGGGAGAGAATATCCCTCACCTCCTACCTTCCTCTCATCTCCCCCTGCTGAGAGAGAGAGAATATACCCTCCTTACCTCCTACCTTCCTCTCCATCTCCCCTGCTGAGAGAGAGAGAGAGAGAGAGAGGGAGAGAGAGAGAGAATGTACCCTCACCTCCTGCCTTCCTCCGCATCTCCCCTGCTGAGAGAGAGAGAGAGAGAGAGAGGGAGAGAGAGAATGTGCCTCACCTCACAGCCCTCCTCCATCTCCCCTCTTCAGAGAGAGAGAGAGAGAGAGAGAGAGAGAGTGTGCCTCACCTCCTACAGCACCTCTCCCATCTCCCCTGCTGAGAGAGAGAGAGAGGGAGAGAGAGAGAATGTGCCCTCACCTCCTACCTTCCTCCATCTCCCCTGCTGAGAGAGAGAGAGAGAGGGAGAGAGAGAATATCCTCCTACCTTCCTCTGAGAGAGAGAGAGAGAGAGAGAGAGAGAGAGAGAGAGAGAGAGAGAGAGAGAGAGAGAGAGAGAGCTTTTGTGGGTCTTACGTGTATGTGTGAGAAATATAGATTGAGAGATAAATAAACAGATCATAGTTATATAAGTGTGTATATTTCTCTAATTATTCTATAGATATATTTCTCAGATCAATATAGAACTAGAGGAGGAATATACTTCACCTTTCTCATTACTGCTTCAAGTGGGAGGTAATACTTGACTCTCTCCCTTACACAGTCAAGGCTAAGATCAAGAAACTGGAGGATGAACTCAAAACGACAACAACATCATCTTCCACCACTACTGACATCACTGACACCACTACTGACATCACTGACACCACCACGGCCGCTCCTACCACCTCTAGCACTGATGTCCATACCACCACTTGGCAGCCTTCAACCTTAGACTCGAGTACTTCTGAAGGGCCTCCTAAAGTGCAACCCAGCGTGGTGGAAGGTCTAGTCGAGGCGTAAGGACGACTCAAACATCAAGTGCATGGGATCTGGTGCATGACAGCCTGCATGACAGTGGTATGACAGGGGTGACTCTTATCCTTGTTGACAGTGACCCTCCGTCCACCCACACACAATCACACTCACACACACACTCACACACACACACACACACTCACACACACACTCACACACACACACTCACATATACACGATTAAAGTCTCATATTAAGTTCAATTATTTATTACTTAACCCTGATTTATTACAACTAGGTAAGAATGTCTACCTGCAGTAATTAGATGCACGTCAATGATCATCTTGAAATAGATTTTAATTAATGAATGCTGTGAAATATACTAGAGCCATAATTACTTCTTGCATGAACTAGATTTTAAACACTTGTGAAAAATACATTGTTTATATTTCATTCAACACGTCGCCTAAATCATCACCATATTGTATATTTCACCTATAATATACATCTAATTAACTACCTGTGAGTCTTGTCTATATCACCTGGTCATATATTTCACCTAATATAAAACTATAACTAATTTATATATCTCACCTAATATATGAATACCTGTCACATTATATAAATAACCTATAATTAACCTATAATCCTCATCTACCTGTAATATATAGATGATTATATTTCGTTTTTTTACTCTGTTTTCCCAGGTTTTTAGAAAGGCTATCTGGTCGCCTTACCACCAAGGGTTTCGAGAGGGTCAGGCTGGATAAAGGAGTATTGAAACACACTAAAGCGAGATTCATTTTACTAGCCGACGTCCAGCAAGAAGAATCGAACCCGATGTACAACCAAACCCACCTTATAGACTCGACCTTATACAAATATGGCTCCCCTGAATCCAAATCCTCCAACGAGAGCGAAAATACGTTTGAAAATATGAATGACACCTTGACATCGATGCCATTTTCATATTTAACGGATGATGAGGAATTAAATGATGAATATTCAGGGGATTCAAGTACTACTGAACCCTCTATAGATTCTATAAACGCCGAGGAAGATAAACAAGAAGGATCTGGTCATGGCCTCGAAAAGTTTTTCTCGTTCGGCATATTTTAGATTTTAATTTTAATTTAATCTGTTTTTCCAAGGTTTTTAGGATTATTTTTATGTTTTTAAAATGAGGGTTTTGTTAATAGTTATTGTATGATAGTAATAATTCAGATCTGATAGAATAAATGGGAATATTATGACCAACTTTGAATGTATCTGATCGAGTCTTTCTGTTTATACTTTTGTTAGATGTGTTCCGATAAGTTTTTTTTTTGTCCAATAAACTTATCTAATACATTTTATTTTGTCCAATAGCCTCAGTAATGTCCAGTACATTTAATAGTGTCCAATACGAGTATATTGACCAATTATATTATTTAATAAATTTATAAGTAATTTTTTTTATATTAATTTAACCTTATGGGGGAAAAAGTGTTAACCATAGAAGTAATAAAGTGTTTAAGAAAATGAATAGTAGTATACAAGCAGTTACTATATTAATTAGGTAAAAAGTAGTTTTTGTAAGTAAGAGTTGAAAAGTAGGTGTTTATAAGTAAGGGATGGAAAGTAATAGAAACATAACAGTTTTTAAAGTAGTCAAAATAGTAATATAAAAAACAAAGTTTAAAACTACTGGTTGGTTGAAATATACTCAAAAGTATATAAAATGTAAGGATATGAAAAATAAGTAAGAGTATATAATGAAATATAGACGAAGTATATAGTAAAAACATAGGATATAATGAAGGGGTAAAGGAAAAAGGGAAAAGGGTAATGATATAAGAGACTAAGGGCCTCAGGTCTCCTCCTCCTCCTCCTCCACACAGAAGTTCATGTTGAGTCTGAGGGCGAGAAGGGCGTCGAGGCCGATGATTGCCTCGTCCTGGTGCTCCTTGACACAGAGGCGCACGTGGATGACCTTGCCCAGGAAGGTGAGGTAAGCGAAGGCGTACCCGACCATCTGGGCCGTACCCGTGATGGTGTGAATCCGGGACGACGTTTGGCTGGACAGGGGGATTATGGTCAGCCGGGTTTGCTGGGCGACGGTGTGGGAGACGAAGCAACAGGAGGAGCCTGTGTCTAACGTCGCCCACTCGGTCTGCCCAGCCTGCTGCAGGTCACTCTGGATGAGACAGTTCACGTTGACAGGGTTGGCAAGCCTGGCGGCGTTCTGTCTCAACGGACGCTGGATGAACATTTTTGGATGTGTGCTGTTGATAGACAGGGCACAATTATACCCAGTGAACACATCCATGCCTAAGATGGGTATACCGGGGTCCAACACCACCCAGAAGGGCTCTAGCACCACGCCGTTGCTGCAATGGAGCTGAGCCCTCAGGCGGCCACGTATGGTGGGCTGATACTCCGCCACGGTGTTCAGCAGCCGAGCTCTCAGTGACTGGTCTAGGTGGTGGGTGAGGCCGCACCTGGTGACGCAGTCGTAGGGCAGGATGGAGGCGTTGGCTCCCGTGTCCACCAGGAAGTCCACCTCCATCAGGCCCAGCCTCGCCCTCAGCATCAACTTGTTACTCTCCGCCCTGTAGGTCAGCCCTACCACGAATTACTTCTCTTCGCACATGTTATTAAAGGAATATTTGAGTTAATTATTTTACTTTGAAAATCATTAGATAATTAATTAACATACATTTTGAAATAATTGTTACACCAAAGCTTTAAACAGATGACATTTCTCTCTTCATCACCTGTTAACAAGTCTCCATTAGCGGAACGGCGTGACCTAATTGGTTAGTTCGCTAGCCAATGACAGACGGGTCGCAGTCAATACCTACACTATGTATATCTACAGTCCTACAATATGTATGTATCTTATTTGTATACCTACACTGTGTATGTATATTGCTTGTATAGCTGCACTGTCTACATACAAGCTAAATAAATGGAAACTAGTTGGGCGATTTTACTATCTATCTATCTATCTTTTTATCTATTTATCTATCTATCTATCTATCTATCTATCTATCTATGAATCTATCGATCTATCTGTAAGGGCCATGTGACCATCTTTAGGTCTGTCGCTGAAGTCGAAATACAAATTATTTTACGAGTTAATTTTGTCTTCCTGTTGGATATATATAATTTAATTCGATGATAAAATATTTCAGAAAACATACTTAATTTCTGAACAAATAAAGATCCTACAAAATTCTAATGAGGTTAAAGTTTTATTTGTTATCTTAGGTAATTTTTTATTAAACGTATGACTGTATTGCATGAATAGTTAAACAATTCAATGAAATAATATAAGATCAACTATTTCAAATTTGGCGCCATAGTTATGATGTTAACAGAATACCACAAACATTACTACCATACATGTGGGTACCATTTATTGCCTTATTAAAGTAAATAACCTGAATATTATCTAACATAAGATAATAATTATAATAAAGTATTTAGTAAATTATGCAATATTAGTTATTACAGGTGTCTAGAAAATATTTAAGTAACATGCTTACATCGTGGAATCATGTTAACATTAGCCACAAGCTTGAGGATCAGCTGATAAGGCAAAACAAACACAGCCTCAACCAAAGCTACATCATGAAGCTAAATACGTCCTTACTTCTGTTTATTATAGCTTGCCTCAGCTCAATCACCTCCATACAGGGACAGGGCGTGAGTATATACGATTAAGATGTGTATGAGAATAGAAATAATCCTTCATATTGGTGTAAGATAAGGGATTATATATTTTAGTAATGGGGTTTATAATTCTGCCAGTGTGTGTCTGATGCTCCTGAAGTACTAGACAATTATTACCCATTATTTATATACCTAATACCATCCCCATTTTATACCCATTAAATACAAGACTTCATAATATTCTTAGTTTCAGAAATGTGAGGAGACAGCCTACCCTCCTGATGACCAGTGAGTAGCAACATTAATTCACCGTGTTTCCCTTCTATCCATTATATCCACATGATCCTCCCACCCATTATATCCACATGATCCTCCCACCCATTATATCCACATGATCCTCCCACCCATTATATCCACATGATCCTCCCACCCATTATATCCACATGATCCTCCCATCCATTATATCCACATGATCCTCCCACCCATTATATCCACATGATCCTCCCATCCATTATATCCACATGATCCTCCCACCTATTATATCCACATGATCCTCCCACCCATTATATCCACATGATCCTCCCACCTATTATATCCACATATCATGGATCAAGCACAGAATATATTAAATATCTTTTTATATATATTACAGGACGTTTTACTATAGGGAGCCCTGTATAAAGAGACCAAGCAAGGGTGGTTTAGGGGTTAGCATTATGATATATGAGAATTTATATATTGTTTAGAAAATTCTCTTATAGTACTGTATATATATATAAGATAATCATTACTATCTGTAATAATAAGATCATTTCTCTTGGGCCTAAACTTAATAAACCACTAAAATCACCTTATTTATTTATACAGAGCGGTCATTAGTTCTTGTCTCTCACTTGAGGTTAGGTTAAGGTAGGTCAGATCAGGATAGGTTTAGATTGGTCAGGTTAGGTCTGATCAGGATAGGTTTAAATTAGTCAGGTTAGGTCAGATTAGGATAGGTTTAGATTGATCAGGTTAGGATAGGTTTAGATTGGTCAGGTTAGGATAGGTTTAGATTGGTCAGGTTAGGTCTGATCAGGATAGGTTTAGATTGGTCAGGTTAGGTCAGATCAGGATAGGTTTAATTGGTCAGGTTAGGTCAGATTAGGATAGGTTCAGATTGGTCAGGTTATATTAGGTTAGCCTCAGTCAGGGTAGGTTAGATTAGGTTTCTCATGAATCACTGTTGAGCCATCACGAGAGACAACGGGATGAGGTTTGTCCGTGTGATTTTCCTTGGCGGTCAGGATGTTATTGTTTGTTGTTTATGTTATTATGGTTATTAATCAATGATAGACCAGTTAGTTTATCAGAGATGTTTATCATCAACTTTATATTTAATGTTGTGTAATAACCTAATACAGTCCTTTACAGTCATATGACTACAGTACTATACCATACAGTAATATATCACACACCGTTACAGCAATACACCATACAGCATTACAGTAATATACCATTCACTAATACAGTAATATATGGTCAACAGATACGCAGTACCTCAGTATGTGGTGGATCTGGACCTTCCTCCCCTGCAGCGGTGGTCGGCACTCATGAGAGAGAAAGGTCCAAAGGTACGTCACATTTTACTGTTTACCGACGACTGCAGAGGGAGGGAGTCAAGCCATGGTAGCTGCTGTGTTGGGTGCAGTGGGTGAGGAGGCTAGGGGTACTGGGGAGGGACAATGACTCGAGGGATCTGTGTGAGTCTACTAAGGTGTGTGGTGGTGATGTTTAATCCTTAACCTGTGGCCATCATCAGTGGAAGTTAGGTGTAGGAACGGTGGCCATCATCAGTGGAAGTTAGGTGTAGGAACGGTGGCCATCATCAGTGGAAGTTAGGTGTAGGAACGGTGGCCATCATCAGTGGAAGTTAGGTGTAGGAACGGTGGCCATCATCAGTGGAAGTTAGGTGTAGGAACGGTGGCCATCATCAGTGGAAGTTAGGTGTAGGAACGGTGGCCATCATCAGTGGAAGTTAGGTGTAGGAACGGTGGCCATCATCAGTGGAAGTTAGGTGTAGATACAGTTGCCATCATTTTTACACATATGGGAACAGAGTGGGGAATCCTTAGCCGCTATTTAATGGATACTAAACCATCGTCTTGTCATAGTGTGAAGTGTAACCCAGTTCTGTACCCTACAGCTGGTGGCCCTGGTGGATGATGTCAAGGACCTCTTCAAGTCGCTCGTGGGGGAGAAGATATTTGAGATCATCTTCAAGAATCTTGCTAAGGTGACTATGAGAATCTTTCACATTTGTATAATTATTTTTTTTATAGTATTAAAGTTTCTCTGGGACTCATTCCTTTGTAAATTATGTATTGTCTTCACTGTGTCTATAAAGATTTTTTATTTTGTAACATTGTTTTATATTAACTAATTTTGTATGGCTGATAATCATGGTCAAATGTCCTGATGATCCATGTACCCCAAGATTCAGACTTATGAACCTGAAGCATTTATGGACAGAATAATGCATCAATGTCTAGTGTTTCGGGTTCATGAATCTGAATCTCGGGGTTCATGGAGCAACAGAAGAGGCGACAGGACTTTTGACCATGACTGTACAGTAACTATAGTCTACAGTATAACCAAAAGCCAATCATTTACTCTCTTATACATAGTAATATCTACATCACCAGGTGGCCACAACTCTGCCTTACCCCTTTTATGAGGAGTTAGTCGGCATCTCTACCTTCTCTGAGGTGCCGCTCAGTCTCATCACCATGTACAACATTTTCTACGAGGCGTTTACACTGTGTACGTCCATCATCTCTCAGGACCCCAGTGGTCAGCTGTTCCACGGCAGGAACCTCGACACGGGAGTCTTCTTAGGGTGCGTCGTGGGTCTCGGTGTTTACGTTGTTTTAATCTTTCAATTGTTTTGTCACCAGTTGTTAAATTTTGATTCTCTCTCATATTTACCTGTAGAGTGAGGCCACCTAGTAGACTCCCCCTCCCCATACTGTACTGTAGTCTATTTCATGAAGGTTTACTGTATCTGGTCTAAATGTCAAATATATCCTCATATATATTCTTCACTAGATACTATCAATCATATTTCTAAAGTGACTTAATTGGTCATAATGTAGACCTCCTAACAGAGATCTTCTTTGTTATGTGATAGATGGGACAAGAAGAACCACACATGGAAAGTAGCGGAACAACTGCGGCCACTGGCGGTCGAGCTGGAGTGGAGGAAGAACGGCACGGCTGTCTTCCGTTCCCTCAGCTTTGCCGGATATGTTGGCATCCTGACTGGGGTGAAGAAGGTGCGGACAGTGTTAGAATAAGGATCACATTAATTTAAGGCATCCTAGTTTATTACACCTGATAATTAAATTCCCTAAACCTAACCTAACTTAACCTCACCTAATTCTAACCTAACTCAACCTCACCAAACCTAATTCTAACTTAACTTAACCTAACCCAACTTAATTTAGTCCAGTCATACCTAGTCTAACCTAACCCAACACTTCAGGTAGCATTATGGTGTTTAATCTTAAGATGGAATAACCTGGGAGGGATTAATCTTCACTTGATTCCATTGTCATATTCATTTTGTATCATATCTGTCCATATATCATACTCATTCATATCATACTGGTATTTTTGTCATATACTTGTCATACTGGATCATTTATCATACTCATTCATATCATACTGGATCATTTATCATCTTGGTTCATCCACAGGACAAGTTCACCCTCTCCATAAACAAAAGATTCGCTCTTAATGGTGGGTTTGTGGGGCTACTGGAGTGGATTCTCTTCAATGATTATAACCAGAGGTACGTGTCGTGATGTGTTGTGTGTCGTGATGTGTTGTGTGTTGTGATGTGTTGTGTGTTGTGATGTGTTGTGATGTTATGTGTGTCGTGATGTATTGTGTGTCGTGATGTGTTGTGTGTGTGATGTGTTGTGTGTCGTGATGTGTTGTGTGTCGTGATGTGTTGTGTGTTGTGATGTGTTGTGTGTTGTGATGTGTTGTGATGTTATGTTGTGTGATGTGTTTGGGTTGTGGAATGTGTTATGATGTTATGTGATTTTTTGTGTTGTGATGTTGGGTTGTGTTGTGATTTTTTGTGTTATGTTGTGATGTTGGGTTGTGTTGTGTAATGTGTTTGACATGATAATTTTTACATCCCTAATTGCGTAAATTATCAGAGATCAACACAATTGTTATTATCCCTTAAAATGTCAGAATATAAATGAAATAGATTAAATACTAAAGAATTACAGTGACTCTTCAGGTGTCCGTCTGTCAGCCAATCAGTTGCCTTGCTACATAATGACCTTAGGCCCCATTTATAAGGGCCACACTAAAGTTGAGTTGATAGAGGTCATTCAAGGTCATGTGTCCAGTACAATACTTAGCTTGACTTTCATAATATATATAAGATGTCCCAGGAAAATGTCCCTGCCTCCCTTCCTTCTCCCTGCTTGCTCCCTGCCTTCCTCCCCATCTCCCTCCCTGCCTTCTCCCTCCCTCCCTCCCCCCTTCATTGCACTCATGACATAAACCTTTCTTTTTTAATATACTATAACACACAGTACAGTATATATTCATCACTTACTTCTCCATCACGAAAAAGTTACAATTCAAAACTCTATTTCCAGCTGGGTGTCATTCCTGTCGCGTGAGATCATGGAGGAAGTCGAGAACTACGAGGAGGCACAGACCAGACTCATCAAGACAAGACTTTTGGCTCCTGTTTACTTCATACTGGGTGGAACACAACCAGGGCAGGTGTGTGTGTGTGTGTGTGTGTGTGTGTGTGTGTGTGTGTGTGTTGCTCTGCTTCACCTTCTTGTCTATAAAGTATAATTATTGGTCATATTTAATTCATGGATTTTATTTTATTGTTATGTTTTCAAGTTTGTTTATTTTGACTGAAGTTTTATCCTTTGGTTGTAATTTGTGTGTGTGTGTTTATGTGTCTGTTTGCTTGTGTGTGTGTGTGTGTATGTGTCTGTTTGCTTGTGTGTGAGGTTCTTTATGTGTCTTTGTGTTATTATGTATTAATTATTTTATGTGTGTCTGTGTAGGCATTATAAACGAGTAGTCATCTTCAATACAAGAGAAATAATGGTTTTAAACATCTCTGAGCCAATGTACTGTATTGTATTTCATGGTTGTAATTCTTCACCCACATTATTACATGACTTTGAACACTTCATCTTTCAGGGCTGCATCATCACTCGAGACAGAGACAACTCCAACCTTTTAACTCTTGGCTCTACAAAAACTGGATCAGGGTCGTGGTACCTAGTGCAGACCAACTACGACCACTGGAAAAAGCCTCCGTTCTTTGACGACCGCAGGACACCGGCCAATCGTTGTATGACCGAGGGCGGGCCAAATAATGCATCTCTGGGTCTAATTTACAACGTTCTCTCGACCAAACCTGTGCTAAATAAGGTGAGTGTTTTAGGGACGTTGAGTGTATTACTTCTCTTAGTAATAATAAGTTGCTAGACTGACCAGATCATGTGGAGAATGTTGTGCCGGGTCTTGCAGGATGTAAAAAAAAGCGGGGAGGCAATCATTTCGCCAACGGTCTTGAATATCGTGTTATGTTTATTAAATTTAGATAATAATATCTTTATTTTGGAGGTGATGAAGCCATGGTTTGGTTAGGTTAGGTTTATACTGAACCAGTGATGAATTGTCCTACAACTGTAAAAAACATGACCAATAATTTTTATTTATCTTTCCCAGGAGACTGTGTACACGGCACTGATGCAAGCCAGCTCAGGGCAAGTCCACGGGTGGATCCGCCAGTGTCCTGACCCGTGCTGGCCCTGGTGAGGACTTACTCTGGAAAGTAACAGAAAAGTAGAGTTCAAGTGAAGTTACATTCCATAGAATATATTACCATTATTATAGACTCTGCTGGCTTGAAGGGCCTTTTGAAACACTTGGGTGCTTCGACCAACTCCTTCCACTGTTGCTGACCTTCTACAAGTTCCTCTCAGATATAGGTCTTCATTTATCACATCCTGTCATCTGGTTCTTACACTTCTTCAAGGTCTTCTCCTCTGGTCTCACTCATAAGCTGCTCAGGTGACTCTATCATCACTGACCGGGGAAACATGACCTAGCCATCTCAGTTGCAATGACCTTGTGAATCTTGATGCCAGAGGCTGCTTGGTCAGACTATGTATCGTATGTCTCTCTTATGTTTCGTTGTCACCTCCGAGTGCCATTATCATGTATAAGGCTGCATATGCTTCATAGGATGTTGTCAAAATGTAATCGTTTATTTTACAGTTTATTAATTAAGCAGATTCCCTGCTTCTTATAAGTTATGACCACAGTACTTATTCTGTATCCCAGAGTAAACACACCAACACTCTTTTGTTGTCATCACTTGTGCTTTATGTGAAATTACTTTACTTTATCCTTTTCACCAGTGATTGGCCTGTTAGCCACTCGAGCCAACCCAACCCAACCCCCAAACCTTTAGTACTGGGACACACTCCAGATATAATGGACCCCAGTGCTGGAAGGCTGGGACCTATTTGAACAGCAACTTTTTCTGTGACTTTGTTTTTTCACAGTATTCTCTGCTCAAAGGAAATATACTGACAGATTGGACAGTTATATACAGTAAATGTGTCTTAGAGTCAGCTGTTATATAAATTTGTCACAAACTCAAGTACTGTTTAGTATTATATAAATTTGTCTCAAACTCAAGTACTGTTTAGTATTATATAAATTTGTCTCAAACTCAAGTACTGTTTAGTATTATAGAAATTTGTCACAAACTCAAGTACTGTTTAGTATTTTAGAAATTTGTCACAAACTCAAGTACTGTTTAGTATTATATAAATTTGTCTCAAACTCAAGTACTGTTTAGTATTATAGAAATTTGTCACAAACTCAAGTGCTGTTTAGTATTATATAAATTTGTCTCAAACTTAGTGGCTATATAAATAATTTGCCAGACTCAACCGTTACTGGTAAAGTGTATAGATTGTTACAGCCTCAATAATTTACAACATTGTCACAAATATAACTGTGATAGAAATTTGCCTAAAAGAGATGACAGCTATTAGACGTCCATAGGTTTTGGATATTCAGTTATTTTAATATTGTTTTGTAGGTATTACTGTACTACACTTATTACTGTTTTGTATATATAACTGTACTACAATTATTGCTGTTTTGAAATATTGTTTCTTATAATATCACTTAGATGATAATTTAGCGAAATTATCATAATTTTATTTCTCTTTCAAGGTTAATTTCCGTATAATAAAGTTCTGAACACAGAATATTAACCCCTTGTGTACAGGGCTGCCTCTGAGCTGAATAAAATACAGTCGGTCCTCGACTTACGACTGGGTTAAGGACCGACGACCGGGTCGTAAGTTGAAAATGCGAAAATAATACATAGAAAATCTAAAATGAGTGTCTCTTTTTCTTCTCAGCACCACGAGAATTCTCACATTTACGCTTGCCAGCCATTTTAAAGGGAATTACAAACAGAAATTTTGTCAGTACACAGTGCGATCACTAATGTCGGGACTCGAAAATATGTAATTTGAAAAATGTTTTATACGACTGCGGCGGTCGTATGTCTGGGTGGTCGTAAGTCGAGGAGTACTGTACCTGTATTCTGATCTTGGCTAAATAAAATATTAAAAGTGGTGTCCCATAGTGAAGGGGTTAAAGGTAATTTTATCTGTGTTGTGACAATATAATTTATATGTAATAGCAGTACTAATATTATAGCTCAATAGACTGGAATATATTGATGATTTTTACTGTTTATTATTCTTAGAAACTTAATATATTACCGTAATTGACCTGTTGATGACTCCGCCCACCTGTAGCTACACTTTACTTTATCCTCTTTGCCACTTGGGCGGTCGGTCACACCTGTTACACACTGTTGGCAGATACTGAGCATATACTGGTTTCTGAATGTATCTAAACCTGCTCCAATGTTGGTCAAGTCTGGTCTTGAAACAGCTCACACTTGGTGCCGTCACAACACTCTCAGGCAGATTGTTCCAAGAGTTTACAATTCTAATGGCTTCTTTAACCTAGAGCTATGACCTGTAGTAGGGTGGGTGTCTGTCAGCTCCAGGTATGAACACTGTAAACTTATTTTTGAGATAATATAAAAATTTATCTCTAGTTCAGCTCCAGGTAAACTTATTTTTGAGATAATATAAAAATTAATCTCTAGTTATCTCCAGGTAAACTTATTTTTGAGATAATATAAAAATTTATCTCTAGTTATCTCCAAGTAAACTTATTTTTGAGATAATATAAAAATTAATCTCTAGTTATCTCCAAGTAAACTTATTTTTGAGATAATATAAAAATTAATCTAGTTATCTCCAAGTAAACTTATTTTTGAGATAATATAAAAATTAATCTCTAGTTATCTCCAAGTAAACTTATTTTTGAGATAATATAAAAATTAATCTCTAGTTATCTCCAAGAAAACTTATTTTTGAGATAATATAAAAATTAACCCCTAGAGCTGTACTGTATTGACTAAAGTGCAGCTCAGACTACTACATTTATTATTAACCCTGGTGTGTGGGTCCCTCTGTGTGCTGTAAAGTCATGTGATGTTAGCCAAGTAGAATATTAAAAGTGGCATCGCATAGTGAAGAGGTTAATGATAAACCTAAAAAAAAAAACATAGGAATTTCTTGCATACTTTTGCTCAATGTATTGTGTTGTACTTAAATGTTTAGATAAAGTGTTGTGAGTTGGGCATTATGTGGGTTGTGTTGTGTGAGCTGGGCATTGTGTGAGTTGGGCATTGTGTGAGTTGGGCATTATGTGGGTTGTGTTGTGTGAGCTGGGCATTGTATGAGTTGGGCATTGTGTGAGTTGGGCATTGTGTGAGTTGGGCATTGTGTGAGCTGGGCATTGTGTGTTGGGCATTGTGTGAGTTGGGCATTGTGTGAGCTGAGCATTGTGTGAGTTGAGCATTGTGTGAGCTGGGAATTGTATGAGTTGGGCATTGTATGAGTTGGGCATTGTGTGAGTTGGGCATTGTGTGAGTTGGGCATTGTGTGAGCTGAGCATTGTGTGAGTTGGGCATTGTGTGAGTTGGGCATTGTGAGCTGAGCATTGTGTGTGAGTTGGGCATTGTGTGAGCTGAGCATTGTGTGAGTTGGGCATTGTGTGAGCTGAGCATTGTGTGAGTTGGGCATTGTGTGAGCTGAGCATTGTGTGAGCTAGGCATTGTGTGAGTTGGGCATTGTGTGAGTTGGCCATTGTGTGAGCTAAGTGGGTGATCAATGTCATCAAGAAATGGCTGTGATTTATAACCATAATTAAAAATGAAATATTAAATCACAAATAGCTGTTAATCATTACTCTGTGATTATAAAGTTCCTTAAAAACTTTCTTTAAATAATAAGATGCCAAACATTATGACTTAGGCCTCAAACAACATATATTGGAACAGTTTTGTGGTACAGAATATTACTAGAGTATAATGTTATAGGCGAGAGTACTGTAACATGTAGGTGCTAGATGGTGTAATATATGGTGTTTTTATTGTGATATTTTACCTCCCATGCTGAGCTCTGAGATGATTTAGTCAATGGTTTATGTACTGTAATAATCACGTGTTCTGATTCTCATATATATTTGTATAACCAAATACTTAATCTGAATAAATATATATAATTATCGTCCTGGTTATCAATACCCCTATATAGTATAGTTGTCTCTCTCGACTGTGTTCTGGGTTTGATCCCTTGCCTGGGAGAGGTTTGAGAAGGGTGACATTACCAAACATGTCACAGGTGTTTCTCCAGGCCCTACAGTTTCCTTGTGTATTAATGCTGGACAATAAGGAACAGATTAAATGCCCAAACAGCAAACTGATAACTGGTGGAAATTAAAATGCTATCCATCTTTCAGTTTTGTTCCAGGACAGTTTTTAACCTTATCTACACCTCCCTCACCACTCCGAATATGATCCATGTTGAACGGTCCCTCACAGAGATGATCCAGTTAGTTGACTCTTCTCAATATGTACTATCATCAATTTAGACTTACAGTGTTATATTATGTGTAAGTATTATATTTCTACAAAAAAGGTTAGGTCAAGAAATAGTTTCAATAGCCCCTATCTTTTTATTTAAGCTTCAATATGATGTACCGTTCTCTTGGTAGTAACATTTAACTCTCCCAGAAGCTTCACAACCAAGGTAGAGTCGAACCGGAGCATCAAAGCACACAGAACACCTAATGTTACAAACTATTACGAACGCCATTTATTTATTTCTTAGATAATAAAAATCAACAAGATATATTTTAAGTTAACGAAAATTATACTCCAGACTTTATTAAATTTGTTGTCTTCTGTATAATAACTAAATTAATGGATAATGGGGTTGTGTTCGTGGTACCTTTTTAACATAGTTTTTAATGTCACCAGAAATATAAAGACTCGAATTAACTGGAAGTGAACGAGCCTATTAGTTACTACCCAACAGTGTCACAGTGTAGACGTGTTTTATCAGTGTATTACCACCTGTCACGACTGATCCTTAACACATTGTATTGACAGTGATATAGTTTGTGTTCCGGGAACTTCATATACCTACAACAGGACGATATTTGGTTTAAAAAGTGAAAAAATAAAAAGGTTGTTTTGGTCGCTGCCACGAGACTGCTCAAGATGGTTCAGTTTTGGTAAGACTATAATTTTTGTTATTTTTTGGGATAGTTGATTAATGGACTACCTTAGGGAATTTAAAATTGGAAAGAGACATAATTTATAAGCCATGTGTGTACAGTAGAGGGTAATAATGTGTAATGTGTGCCCCAAAAATCCACAATCCCAACTTGGGTCAAAAATCATTCCAACCAACCCTGAACTTGTTACGAACCCAGACTAGTTGACATTACGTTGATATTTAAGCTCTATGGCGTCCTGATAGACACATAAATAATCAATTTAACCATCTTACTATTTTCTATTAGTTGATGGTTTACATAGGACCGTTAGTACCGGAAATAAATATCTAATGGCCTTGTTGGCTATCCATGGTCGAATTGCTTCACTGTTAACCATTGTTTGTATACCCACACCGTCTAGGTATAAATTGTCCGTATTATTATTATTATTATTATTATTATTATTATTATTATTATTATTATTATTATTATTATTATTATTGTTTATAGACAGCACAGGTATACAAACAATGGTACACAGACTCAGTGATACACAAAATGACCTTAAATAAAAGATTATATCGTCATTAAGTGTTTCCAATACACACACACCCTCCAGAACAAGTATTATCCCTCGGTTTATTCACAAGATGGGATTTATTGTGGGCGCAGTGGAGGATTTAATTGGTTGTATACCTCTAAATGGCTGCCTTGTTACCATTATTATTACTCGTTTCCGTCGTCATTGTACGCTTATTATACGTTTCAATTATCTAATACATTATAATAACACTTGTAAGGCGCTTTACTTTATTATTAGTATCTAGATCATGCGATAAACAATAATAATCCTAGTTTAAAGAGACATTATTTAATTCTTTAAAGGCTCAGCATTTAATTCAAAGTGTAACAAGTAACTAATAAGAGAAACTCGACGAGACAACAGAGGCAGAGGCATAATGGCGTTGGTGTTGCCCTCTAGCGTCGAGGAGAGGAAGCTGATGGTGTTGTGTCCTGGGTTCAATCCCGGTCCGATATAGAGAGAAATAAGTTCTGGGTTAAATTCCTTCTCAATTATTTTCGACAGTAACGATTCTTCAAGTCGATAGTCAATTCGTATTTAATTACAATATAACAGTTAAATGTCGATTCATCCTGTAAAATAAATAATGATCTAAGCAACGTTCATAGAGCAGTTCCCTTGAAGCCTATTGGTAATAAATTCAAATGAATAATCCAATTAATTCTAGAATAAAAAATAGTTTAGTTTATAGATAACAGTATATAATATAACAATAATAAATCGTTAGACATTAAGATAAACAGGTAGCAATGTCTTTCTCAATATAGTGACGTAAGTAAGCGCCATCTATTGATTAAAAGGTAAACTAAACCCCCATCCGTTATAGTCTCCCTAAAGCTGTTTCCCTCCTGTGCTATAAACCTCTCGACTGTAAACAACTGTGGGGACGCGCAGAGACGCTACCTCTCCCCTGGTTAGCATCTCTGTCTCCTCAAGCTTTCTTTTTTTTTATTGTGGGACAGGTAAGTGATGGTGTTTTAATTTAACTGTGTGACAGGTAAGTATATGAAGGTGTTGAGTGGTGATGTAGATTTGTATTAGGAAGATTAAGACAAAATAACCATAATATTACCCAAGATTTTATTCGTTATTTTTTGGGGGGATTTAAAGACATTGGTTATTAAATTACAAGTTTATCTGTAATTGTTATTTAATCCATATCATCATTATAGAGTATTAATCTATAATATCCACTTAGTTATATAAGAAAGGGTTAGAATTGTCTCAGTGGATATATGATCAATATTTTAGATAAGTGATTTAAAGGTCTATTTATACCTCATAGTTAAATAGTAATGTATAGCAGAGGCCAAAAACTATGTTAAAATGATCTGAAAATATTACAAAATGAAGGATTATGACGTTATATGTAAGAATATTGAGCTAAATACTGATTACTGATTGGTGGAGGTGACTGGATATTCACCTCAAGTTGAAGATTATTAAATGATGAACTTGATCTTATTTAGGATTTAATTAGATAGATATGGGAGGATGGGTTGTGGTATGTGATTTTTGTGATGTTAAAGTCTTCAATTAGGTTAGTGTGAGGGTGATTAATCTTCAGGTCTGGTGGAGATTCTTCAGGTGATTTAATTTTAATCTATTTATGATATTGTAAGTGTTTCAGTAAGTTATCATGAGTGGATGTTTAGTTTGTCCCCTTGTTTGTGTCTCAACTTCTTAATAGGACTGATTACCATAATATTCCAATTATAATGTATTTTCATTGTACAGTATACCATTATAACCTTTAAACCTGTGTTTTGATGGCTTATTGATGGCTTTTTAATGGCCCTACACGTGCCATTCAAGGTTAGGTAATGTGTACCGAGGGCCAGTGGAGATGGTCCGCTCTGAGTGTGATCTATAAAGGCTCGTGTTTTGTAGTGTTGGGGTGTGAGCTACAGTATAATTATTGGTGAATTTTGAGTTGGGGGGAAACGTATATTGAGATGAACAATATATCAGGGTTATTTTTGATCTGTTGGTAAATATTATTGATATTAATATTATTTAATGTTTTTATTGTTTTTTATGATAGAAGTTCTTTATTCAAGTTTATTAGTATCAGATGTTTAAACTTACTATGAGTCACAAACTGTTGCTGCTAAGTGTCTGGCATGTGATAGGAGAAACGTCTTGATAAAACAAACCATTTATTTTGGTGTAGGAATGTGCGAGTCATCTGTCAGCAGCAAAAGCCAAAACAATACTTTTTCACCATGTTAAAAAGTTCACAGTCGAGGTAAAGGAGCTTTATTTTGTTATTATCTTATGTTCTGACAGGTCAGTTTTTACTTATTTTTCACTGGAGCACTGAAGGTGTCGTGGCCTACCTGGTGTGTTCAGTACTGGTGCTCTGGTGCCGAGACAAATTTTTGGTGCCATGATTTATTGTAATTCTTTATGGGTGTTTTTCCTCGAGATTTTTACTACTGTATAATGGTCAGTAATACTTTACGACTGTGGCCAGTCGGTAGCAGTAACTTGGGGAAATGTTTACGTTGAAGGTAAAAGCTTTCTTACCCTATGAAAATGACAACAGATGCATGAGGAATACGAGGAAAGTAGCGGCTTTTTTCTTCCGTGGAGATATTTCGGCAATTATGTGTTAAACGTGCACTGTGGTTGTCAAGTACAGGTACAGTGTATTCCCAAATGAGTGAATTTTATATACGTGTACAATATATTACTGTAATAGGAATCATTTGTATATAGTACAGTACAGTATTCATGCAATCCACATTTTCACTTGGCATCATAGGTAGTTGTCAGTTAGTATCCAGGATATAGCAGATGCAACACTGCTCTGTATTGTATACACTGGTGTGACTCATCTACAGGTATTCAGTAACAAGAAGGTGCCACTGACTTTAAAGATGACTATTATTAATCTCTTCATTATAGGGATGCCATTTTTAATATTTTCTTTGGCCAACCCAAGACGATTTTATTCAGCGCATAGCTTACAGTGTACGCAGCTGTAAGATACTTTTACCAGTTTTATTTCTCAGTTTTTATTATAACATTTGTGTTAATGTGAAGAATACAAGTCAGGTGGGAACAAAAAACAATGTAATTATCTCCATGGTGCCAGTAGCCTGTGATCTCCATGCCTTCAGCACGTTGGCAAATTGACAAAAAACTTATAACTGAATTACTCTCTTTATTACTATTATTAAGGATTAGATTGCAACACAGCTCTACTTTAATGGTGACTTAAAGTGTTTATATATGTACCGTACTGTCTTATGTGTGTGGTATATATAATAATTTGCTGTGTAGTTTAGTATCATGTTGTGGACACTAAAATATAAAGTAAATAGAGAATAGGGAGTTTGTGTAATATTATGTTAGATAGAGTTTGTTATGTTGGCCTGTATTGTTAGGTTAGCTTAGTAAAGTCTTAATTCTTGAGGCTTTTTATAGTTTAGGTAATGTAGGTTAAGAATATTGTACGTCTAATTGGTCATAAAACAGTAATGCTGATGGATAGTTTAAAAATTGTGCCGAGTTTAAAAATCGCACGTAACTTACAGTACTAGACATGATATTAAGGCGCCAACATAAAACGTGGGGAAGGTGTCGGCTGTACTCTGGTCCAGCTTATGGTAAATGTGAAGGAGATTGGAGCCAACCATTAACACCTGTACATTATTATGAAATTTTGACATGAGACTTTCCAGGATTTATTGATTTTAGTAACCGCCCAGGTAGTATAGTGGCTAGTGTCTCTGTGAGCTGTGGTACTGATCTGAGTTTGACGCCTGGGCAGACCGAATGGAATCCCACGACAGTTCTGGCGGGATAATAAAAAAAATCTAGGCCCTTGTGATCTTTCATTTATCAGGAGGGCCCATTCCTAGTGTGGGGGGGAAGGTGTTACATGTTACTTCGATGTTTGTGGTGATCATGTGGGGGATAACAGGGTCGCTTCTTGCCTTATGAGACTGCCTTTAGGAAGGGAGGAATGAAGGGAAGAGGAAAGTAAGGATGAAGGTAAAGGAATAGGAAGGGAGGGATGAAGGGAAAGGAATATTAAGAGTGGGAGAGGTGCTTGGTACAGTACAGGGAGATGTTGGGTTAAATAAATAATACAGTAAATATCAACAATCACTCAACTTGATCCCTTTTTTAACCTAACTTATCTTTATGGACTTTCTCACCTCAATAGGACTTTCTTCCCACATTTAGGATAAGGAACCAACTGGACTGGGTACGTCTGAGCCACAGCGCCAAGTACTGTACACCATTGCCTCCAGTGCTTCAGTGAATTATATCAAAACCTTCACTGAACTATGTCTGATGTGAGCAGGTACGGACCACTGAGCGTTGCCGACAGAAAACAAAATAACGGTCGGCAATACAGTAAAGTTTCCCTTAACAGGATTAATTGGTTGACGGCCAGCTAGTTTAAGGGTCCCCTAACCTACCTACCCATGATACTAAATTACTTATTACCTGGTGATTTGTTGCTATTTTTCTTTCATTATAAATACTGTACATAAATGTAAGGAAATTAAACCCTTCATATGTTAATGAAGAAACAAATGTAGTGAAAGAAACAGAAAATTAATATAGTAAAAATTGAATGTTAGCAGACGACATGACAATTTAAAGTTTATTTTTACTATTATAGTACAGAACTTGTCCCCTAGTGGTGCAAATCTATAGAACCCCACACAGCACTGTCACACACACACACACTCTGTCACACCACAATATGTTTTTAGTTTTTTTTTTTCTACCATATTTCAATAATTTTCTCCTCATCTCTCCTTCCTGCAGGCATGTATGTAACTCCTAGCTTGGTTTAGTAAGTTATTTCACTCTGGGAATACACGGGAGTGAGGGGAAATAAGTTGCCGTGTTGCTGAAGTGTGTGGTTATGTTAGCTGAAGGTAGGTAATGATGCTGGGGGAGAAGAGGTGGTGGCTGAGAGAGGAAAACATGGGTCAATGTGGGAGGAAAACATGGGTCAATGTGGGAGGAAAACATGGGTCAATGTGGGAGGAAAACATGGGTCAATGTGGGAGGAAAATGTGGGTCAGAGTTAGAGGAAAACATGAGTGAGAGGAGAAAAGGAGCCAATCACAGCTTGTCGTGGGTTTGGAAGGGGTCATGTAAACATCCAGGTGGACAAGCATCAAACCATGAGAAATTTAGTGTGTACTGAGGTACATTTGAGGATGTATTCTGAGAACCAATGAGTGTGTGTGTGTGTGTGTGTGTGTGTGTGTGTGTGTGTGTGTGTGTGTGTTTTATATTTTTGTGAGTACAGTAACTGGAAACTCGAAACATAAAAAAAATTAAAATGAAAAATATTCCGACTTCTCCCAAATCTATGTCGGAGATTCTTCGTTTCAGATAATGTCCGGTTAAGGGAACTTTACTGACTTGCCTGATTTTACTTAACTTATTTTCATAGTAAAATAATGTATTCCAGCTCTCACTAACAGCATCTTCACATTCTCTTGAGCAAAATCACAATGATTATTAATGTTGGAACTCTAGATGACGTACCCAAAATGTATCTACTTGTTCCTTTAAATCACTGCAATAGATTCAAACGTTTTTAAATACTGTTACTTTCCAATAGTTGTAATTCCCTATGTCAATAATGCTGTAGTAATTCCTAATGCCTTTTTATTATTGTATTTAAACCATTTTATAGCTCGTATAATGGATCGAGCGACTCATTCACTCAACACTGTCATGGGTTTAATCAGTGGGACTTCCAGCGTGTGTGACGGGACTAATTTCTGAAAGTTTGAGGAAAATATTGTCTCTTTAAGGGTTATGGAGTTGTGGGGTAGATAATGATTTTGGGGGGAATTTAGTCTCGTCACATGGTTGAGGGGGAGGGGGCTGGGTCATCGAGCCAGTGGTGTAGTCAAGAACACGAGAATTTTTTTTTTTTACGGTTTTAGCCATTTTGGAACACATGAAGATTCACCCCCCTCCCCCCACCTCCATCCCCCCAGCTTGACTAGTGTGAAATTTACCCCCCCCCCTCTCCCCCTCAAATTATCTATAGGGCTAATCTTCAGGTGATCGATAAAGGCTAAAATGTAAATGGTTTCGTTCGTGGTGTCGACTACAACATAGATCAAGGCCATAGATGTGTTGATGTTAGTGAGTTGCCCGGTACATAGTAAGTTATTGATGGTTTTTCAGGATCAGTCCCTCACTTGTGTATTGGACATAAATCCTTTGCTTGTTAAGTTTGCATTTTCTGATTCACAGGTAATGAAACATTATTAATACCATTTTGGGTCATATTTTCATCTTTTATTGTTGTTTGAAGCTTCTATTGCCCCATAATTTTCCCACCATACTATATCTCATGCCTCCACGTGCTCTCGGCTGTATATTATTATTACCATCATGATGAGCGGAACATTTTAAGAAAGGAATAATGTGTTTGTGCGAATTATGAGTAAAAACACTTTGATCAATAATCCTGGAAGGCTTTATGTCAGAATATATCAACATCCACAGCAGCAGTGTATTAATGGTTGACACTGTCCGTCTGTCTCGTTGATCTATGTTTTTACACACAATTTTCCCTCATATTGTGCGCCAGTACTCGTGAGTGTTGGTATGGGGTCCCTCTTGACGTGTGGTTCACTGTAGAGCCAGTGAGTGTTCTTGATTCAGAGCAGGGAGGCTGTAGGCTGGACTTGAGATGGATATAAACATTTGAAATAGAGACATGACTGTTACCTTCCCACAGTAGACATGATCCACCTGAAAGAACTGGATATGTGTGGATTGGACGTTGATTAAAGAATATCCGCTTGGGGAATAGTGAAATGGAAGGGAGAGTAAAAATTCCGTAGTGTATTGTGAAGAAAAGGCTAAGGACTAATGATGAGGGAAAGAAATGGAGAGAATTACTAAAATGGTTTGTGTATGGTGAGTGAAGGAGGGAAGGTGGTGGTGTAGGAAGGAGAGGAGAATAATCAACTACTGAACATATATTGTGAACTGAAATTGATGCTGTACGATCCATTGTCAAGCAAATTATTAAGGAGAATTAACAAAGATTAGTGGGACAACTTTTATATTGGAGCTGTACTGAATATTAGAGAACTATAACCACTGTACATTATTGCATCATTTACCAAGGAACATTGTCCTGATACTGTACACTTTGGGTAATTTATTAGTTCATGAATTCATATATAAACCCCCCAAAAAAATTGCAAGGGAGTTTGGGAAATGGTGGAGCAAGATTTCAAATAATGAGAGACGCTCGGAAAAGTGTACTAGAACGGCAGAGTGTTGCGGATCTGTGGTGGTGTATGGGGGTGAGTGTCGGGTCATTTTCATAATGTAATCGCAGACGTCTTGTATCCATTCATATTGTTTCATGCTTAGTAATTAAGTAGTATTGTATGTCTCTTTAAAAATGTTAAATTTTATGATGTTTAACGATGTTTCTTATAAGTTTTCAGGAAGTCACTCGGTAAACTTGATATATTATTCCATGTTGATATTAACTTTAACATTTAAACATTTATAAGATTTAAATATTTACAGGATATTGTTATACATTATTTAACTTAACCTGATGATGATATTGACGTTACTTAAGAATCATCCTTACAGGTGATCGAGAAGTTTGCCGAGCAGTTTTGTTAATTAACTACATAGTACAGTATTTAACATTTAAACTCTTGACACTTTGCTTTTCATTCATCTTTATTATTCATTTATACATTATGATATTTTTTATGGTCAGTTTATCCATAGTTTATCATAATTTATTTCTCTCGTTACAAAAAAATATTGGGAATTATGAAGAAGAGATTTTTATCTTATAAGAAAATATTCAGTTTGGGTGATGTAGAGACATTTTTGTATCGATAGTTTCCTGGGCTCTGTTTCCCTCATGAGTTAGTACAGTTCAGTATTATATTCCCAACAGATACAGTCGTCCACAGAAGTCCTGTTGCCTCTCCTCCTGAACCACGAACCCAGAGATTCAGACCTCGTGAATCCGAAGCATTTAATGTATGGACAGAATAGTGTTTTGGGTTTACTGCTTCGGGTTTACGAGTCTGTGGGGCGGCAGGAGAGACGACGGGACTATTGTGGGTGACAGTACGGTACATCTCCACTGTTTAGTTTGGCGTAATGGAACTCCACGGTTGATTGGCTCTCAACTGTACACAAATTGATGTTTGATAAAAATGTGTTTAACTTATCAAGAGTAAACAGATGGAGGTGTATAACAAATGATTAAGTGTTTGTTTAGACTCTATAAAAGTTTATTATTTTATAAGATGAATAACAAGCTGGGTAAACTGTCTTGTATTTCTCAGTTGTCTAGTACAGGTGGGGGGGGGGAGGAGATGTGTGGGAATTAAATAAGGAACATAATTAATTGTTTGCTGTCTACATTTTACAAACTTTTATTTCTTAGTTTATTTTAGTTTATAAGATGAATAACAAAAAGGGTAAACTGTCTTGTATTGTTAATTTGTTTAGTACAGGTGGTGTAGTATAGTAATTAGATATCAGACAGGTAATTAAATAGAATACAGAATTAATTATTTCTTAACTACCTACATTTTTACAAAGCCTTATTTCTTGAGTTTATTTTTAAGTTTTATTTCATCTTATAAGAGGGGTCACAGACTGGCTAAACTTGCTCGTATTGTTCACTTTCTCTCCTGCAGTTATAATGGTGTCAACGCGGGGAGTGAAGGTGAAGTTTAGCGAGGGAGAGAGAGTACTGTGCTACGAGCCTGACCCTACCAAGGCTAAGGTGCTCTATGACTCCAAAGTTCTCCAAGTAGTTGCCAACAAAGATGGTAAAGGGCGAAAGCACATAGAGTACTTAATCCATTTTCAGGTATGCATCCACGTGGGTATTGGGCCTTGGTATATATACAATATATATAAACCTCCCATTCTCTCTGTTTCTTAATCTCGTCGTTGTATTTTCAGAGGCCTTAGAAAAATAAAATATTATAAAGTACTGTATTGCAGAATTTCTTCACAAGTAGATTTCTTTTGTTGTTATTCCCCTTGGTATACAAATTTATTTTCTAATGGCATGACTTGCTGCTGGAAAATTTGGGGGTGATTTTTTTGCTCTTAGTTTTTTTATTTTTTTTTGATTCGTGGATTAAATGTGGGATTTTAAATTTTTCGTTTCAGGGCTGGAATGCATCTTGGGATCGTTGTGTTTCTGAAGACTTTGTGCTGAAGGACACCGACGAGAATAGGGATTTGCAGCGTCAACTGGCCGATAAAGCCCAGATCAAATTGTGAGTCTCCTAAAACCTGTCGTTCCCTATTTAACTTTTCCTGTTTCATCTGCTGACAAAGTACTGTATAGCAAACCTCCCCTGTTTTACCTGCTGAGAAAGTACTGTATAGCAAACCTCCCCTATTTTACCTGCTGAGAAAGTTTAACCAATTTTTCCCATGTCATCTGCTGAGAAAATGTATAAAAAATTGTCCTGATTAATCATTAGTTAATAAATAATATAGAATCAGTCCTTCAGAGTTATTATAGTAAAGTATATTGTCAAGTGTAAGATCTACTTTATGAAATTACCAAAAGTTCTGAAAGATTTGAGTTTTTATATATGGAAGAGATTTAGTAGTGTGTGTGTGTGTGTGTGTGTGTGTGTGACAGTGTGTGTGTGTGGTATGAACGACTGTATGTATGTGGTATGAACAGTATGTAGTGGAGCGAGCGACGAGTCTTATCTGTCTTGACGGACATGAACAAATAAAAACACATGTCTATTTCAGGTCGACCAAATCCAACAGAGTGTTAATAGGCGGACCATTGTAGTAAGTAGCACTATATTAACTGGTTCATAACTCTGACCCATAATATAACTGTACCTTTAACTCGTACATATAATTAATCTGGTCATTTAGGAACTTTTTTGAGATATATTTTCTTTTACCAAACTTTGAAGTGAAAAATTAGCGATGTTGTTTATTGATTGATGTATTGGAAAGATGTTTTTCTTATCATTGTTATAATTAATTAATTGTTTTAATGTTATGTAGGTAAAGAATTTGATTTAAGCTCTGGATAATATAGCTTTTTATTTGAGTTTTTTAAAGCGAGGAAGAAGTTTGTTTATGTGTGACGGTTGTGTCGGCAGCAAGGAGCGGAGGAGGAAGAGGCGGCTGTCGGAGACCATACGGGAGACAATTGAGAAGGAGAAGCAGGAGAAGGAACAGCAAGAAGAGTCTGAGACAAGCTCCCAGGTGAGGCCGCTCGTTAACCTACCTGTGTGTTGGTGGTAGGTGACGGTAGTGGTGATAATGGTGATGGTGTTAGTGATGATGGTGGTGTTACTGCTGTGGTGATGGTGATGATGGTGATTCTATTGATGGTGTGGTGGTGATAATGTTAGTGGTTGATTCAGGCATATGTGTTAAAATGTCTCGTAGTTCAAGGAATCATTATAATCAGATACACACAGGAAGATAATGAGTGAGGTGAAGGGATGTGAGTGATAAGAATAGGAGGAATAAATATTAGATAACTACAGGAAGATAAATAATAAGATAAAGTTATATGATTGAAAGGAATACAAGAGAAATGGAAGAAGAAGAAGAAGTTGTCTCTGTTTATTATCCTTTAAATAGTCTAGTATTATTGAAGAGGTTAATTTCTACCCTTTCATTTGATTGCTATTTTGGAGACCACTAACGACATCCCAACTATCTCCGCACAGACCGGAACCACGGGCACGGAGGACGAGGAGATGGGCTCGGCTGTCTCGGAGGTGGACAGCACAACGGGCGGAGAGGAGGAAGAAGAAGAGGAGGAGGAGGAAGAGGAGGTGACGAGCGACGAAGAGACGATTGAGCGCCACTTCCCCATCGTCTTGCCAGATAACCTAAAAGCTGTCCTGGAGAGAGATTTCCACCTGATTAATGAGAAAAATAAGGTAAGAGTTGGATATCCCTGTTTCTTCCTCTTCAGAACTTGTCATAGTGTACTTTGTTTAGCCTGACTTAGTGTATTGTGTTTAGCCTGACTTAGTGTATTGAGTTTAGCCTGATTCAGTGTGTATTCTGTTTCCCAAGTAAAAAATAAAATGGACATCTCTGTAGTGAGGTGGTTAGTGGATCAAACCTACTAAACCCTTGTGTACCGGCGCATCTCTGTGCTGAATAACAACATCAGGTTTTAGTGGCGTCCCTGTAGTGTAGTGATTGAAATAACTTTGTGTATTTTGTTGGTTAATATGACTTCATGAATTCCATTTAGAGTGACTTAGTATATTCTGTAAACTTAACAGAAGATTAGGGTCGCTGATTGGACACTAAAATACGATCGTAAATTCGGATAATACAGTTTTGATCGCCATTTGTGTCCTCTTCAGCTGTTAAGAGTCAATTTGTTTACTCAGAACGGAAGATTATATTCTTGGTCATCGAGGCTTTGATGTTTGGTGTTGTAGTCTGAACTTGATATCGAGATTGAGGCTGTCGATTATTTAGTGAAGGTAATTATTTACAGTATCTTTGTGTTTACGACTAGCATATCAAAATTTAAGCCGTCGATTATTCAGTAGAACTCATTCCAGATTGTTTTTGTAGCTAACATATCAAAATTGAGACAATCAATCTAAGTCTTTTATTTATTTATTTACTTTATAACTAACATATCAGGGTTGAGGTCGTCAGTCATTGGGTAAAACTAATTCACGTCTTCTATATTCCCGTCACCAGCTGCTGGATCTCCCTACACACAAGACCGCCCTGAGTCTATTGGAGAACTACGTCAAGTTTTTTGCCGTCCGCTACTTGGCCAGGACGAAAGAGAAGAGAAGAACGGAGATTAAGGAGAAAGACAAATATTTCCTGACGTAAGTAAATAATAAGACTCCGACGTTTAATTTAGTTAGTTTAGGTTGAGGAAATGTCTTACTGATTGACTAATATTTTGGCCACTAACTGTAAGCTTTATTCTGGTAAATATTTAAATGAGTAAATAATTGACTTGTAAATAAGGTGTAAATGCAACTGTCTTTTCATTTAATTACAAGACAATGCTTAGCAAATTAAAAAAAAAAGATTAGAGTGGGTTGGATTAGATTAGTTCAGTGTAGGTTAGTTTAGTTATGTTAGATTAGTTTAGTGTGGGTTAGATTAGATTAGTTTAGTTTGGGTTAGATCAAAGGTAAGAATATCAGAAACATTCCTGTCGTCTCTTCAGCTTGAGGATAAATGGAATCTCATCTTTTGAATGGAATTTTATTGACTTTTCTGTAAGACGGCAGAGAGAGGGAGTCTGCTGGCAGGACTGTTGTGTATACGAGATGACTGAGGTGTTGTGGGTGAAATGTTATAAGAGTCATCGTGTACAATACAATAGTAGATATGTGTTATGTGTGTGTGGGGAAATAGCTAGTATACCATAAACTTGTAAAAAACGTCGAAATGTAATGAACTGTTCTTGGGGAAACTATGAACGTGCATAATTTTGATAAATTTCCTTATAAATGCCAGCAGATTCGATTTGTGCAAGGAGGTGATGGATGGCGTTCGCATCTGTTTCGACTTCCACATAGAGACTCTTCTCCTCTACGCGAAGGAACGGAAACAGGCGGAACGTCTCAGAACGGCCCAACCCATATATGATAAAGGGTAAGTCTGCCTCGGGACTGAGAGGAAAAAGGGTAAATTTTTGGCATATTAATTTAGGAAGTAAATTATTATATAATTGGTTTCCACTTAATGACTAGACAGAACTTACGTGATTTCTAACTTGATTTGATAGTTAATGTAAACTCCACCTGAATAGTAAACCCGATATGATTGTTAATGTAAACTCAAACTAAAGAACAAGAACTCAATCTCAACAAAGACAAGTCGATGCAAATATTTTGTCCTTAATATTTTCTCCTTTCGTCAATAGAGAACCCGATGGATACGAGCCGATGTCAGTGGACGACAAGGACAGCCTGGAGACTATGCCTATGAACAAAGACGAATTTGACATTGAAGAGGCAAGGGAGAGACTGGAGAGCTCGCAAAAAGATGAAGAAAGAATTAAAGGTAAGATTGAGAGTACTACTATAGGGTGTTCATAAATGATTACCCTAAAACAGCATGCTCTCATGGTTTAATCAGGGTAATCATTTATGGACACCATGTATAATGTTTTGGTACACTTTCATTCACTCACTTATTTACTTACTCATTAACTCACTTCCTTTCTTGGATCATTTTCTTAGGGGTAAATTTTAGGTCATACAAAAGTATTTTGAGTATTTACCTTTTTAAGAGCTGTGATAGTGGCTTTTTTATATTAATTAAAAGACAGTATTAACCTGAATCAAATTAGTTTTTCACCCCTTTATAGATAACTTTTGGGGGGGGTTAAACTGTTATGTATATATATATTTTTTTGTAGATATAAAGTAGACATGTTTTGGGGGATATCAATTTATTTCTTAACCCGTATATGGTGGGTGAGGAGTCTGTATAGTTCTTGGGTACTGTATAGTTCTGTTCTCTGGGTACTGAATAGTTTTAAGATAACCGTGTAGGAATGTCTTATGAACGTAGGCAATAAATTAAACGAAAACATCATATAAGTTTATTGGACAATTTTATTTATTTTATCAATTCAGTAAATATTTTTATTACAGCAGGAATAATACAAAAAACAAAAAGATATATTGAATTTGTTCTTGATGTTAACCTTCCAATGTTACATATTACAAGATGCTGACAGGAGTTAGAATTTTTTTTTAATTTAGTGTATTTTGCAGAGTCCACCGGCCGTCGTCTGTTGAGATCCAAGAGACCTCCATCTGGGGACTCTACCAGCACCGTGGAGAGGGAGAAGACCAGCACTGGCATGGCCTGGTGGGTGTGATGTTGTTATTGGAACCATTTATTACTTTGACCCAATCACTGGATATTGTTTTTTATGGTCAAGTGTAATGATGTCGCTCCTCGGTCACAATCATATATACTGTACTCGCCTTCTTCCTATACAATATAACAGGTGTTCCTCAGTAGTATATGAAAGGCTTCTATTCTTCAAAATTATGTATAAATCCGTATTTTGTAAGTGGGGGAATATACAGGATGTATCTAAAAAAAAACTGTATACACACTACCTTGCATATTTTCGTGGTGTGAATGTTTGCATTACAACAACAGTGTGAATATATCTTATTAATACAAACATTCACACAATCTCTACAAGACTGTGTATATACTGTACATTACTGTATTCTGGAACATGCTGTATGTACACATATTTGTCAATACTTACGGGCATTTTGTATGTTTATCTCCATCAGTGAGTCAGGACGGAGCACACCAACGACAGTTACCTCCGGGGCGAGCACAGCAGGCGTGAGTGGACTCGCCGGAGCCGACATTAGCACGTCTATTTACCGAGCCATACCGCCACAGCTCCAAGACTGGACGTTACTTCCCGAGTCACACCGAGACCCGCCGCCTCCCTCAATCCTCTACGGCCACATGCACCTCCTTAGATTATTTGGTAACCAGGACCCTCTCTCATCACACTTAATATATTTCACTTTATAAGGATGTGGATAATTTGTCTGTAATCCTTAAATGGCAGCCATCATCAGTGGGTGGTAGCTGTAGGGATGGCAGCTATCATCAGTGGATGTTTAATTGTTCCTTCCATTCTATTTTTGGTGTGGTTAAATTGTTTAAATGATGTTGGCTTTATCCTTTTCATTTGTCTAACCATGCCAAACACAGAGGCTGATAAGAAAGTGATCATTAAGTAACAGCTGTATTTTTCCTGCAACTCTTTTATTCGAAAAAAATTCATTGCCTGCAAATCACTTATTTCTTGTTCATAAAGCAGTGAAAGGATTAAATTGCATTGGGTTAAGAGGAAACAGGTTATAATTATTGTTGTAATCAACAGTGAAGCTTCCCGAGATCCTGTTTCGTATGAATCTACCAGAGACGAAGAAGAAGATCATCATCAAACACCTCGACTTGTTTATTGAGTGAGTGTTTGTATGACGAGTTTGAGTTGTTGATAACCTACTGGAAGTCCCACCCAACAATATACAAAGATTACCTGGTCCTCTTGGGGAAGGGATGGTGAGACCATGTATTTTTGAGCCTTCAGCAAATATAAAATAATTTTTCCAGTCTTTTTAATTATAGCTACAGTTCATCTTAGTATTGTACTTCATTTTTTTTATAGTTTTTGTTTAATCATCATCTTCAAATAGATGATATTGTGTGACTATGGCATTGCACAGCTAGATATATTTTCCTCATTAACAATGTGAAAGTTTTGTGTTGTGCTCTACATTGTTATAACCATTGCAGGTACATCAGTAACCACAGTGAGGAACTCTTCTTGGAGTCACAGTATGTGAACAACCTGGACGTGTAGAGCTGCCAGTGTTCACCACATGGTACAACCTCCACTGTGATGTGGGGCTTTGTGACCTCCACTTGTTGTTGGCTGTGATAATGCAAAAGAGTGAAAGTTCTCCCTGCAAAGTACATTGTTGTGAGTGTTTCCATGGTTTTCACCCGACTAGATAATTAGTTTGTTAGTGTTTATGGTCATATGTGTTCATAGGTTAATTAAGAAATAGGTTTTCTGTTGTAAGACTTAAAACATAACAATGTACCTGAGTTATTGACCAGAATTGTGCTCACACAAATTTAATGTCGTGGACCATGTATTCAGTAATCAGCAAGCTCAGGAGTACCTATAATGTGATTTTTAGCAAAATCTAATTTTTGGCCAAAAATGTAAGTCTAATAATACCTTAAATTTTTTGGACCAAAATATACTTTTTTCTCAGAATTGAAATTTAAGGGGTTTAACTAATTAAGTACATTCAGAATAACACACAAACCCTAAATCACACCTTGGAATCCCATAATTGATGAGTAATTAGCATTGAAAAATGTCATTCAAATCTTAAGGGTCATTATGGCCACTAATTACTCTGCAAATGTATCGTGGACCATGTAGTCCTGATCAGCAAGCTCAGGAGTACCTAGAATGTGATTTTTGGCAAAATTTAATTTTTGGACAAAAGCGTAAGTCTAATGCCTTACAAAATTTTTGACCAAAATATACTTTTTTCTCAGAATTGAAATTTAAGGGGTTTAACTAATTAAGTACATTCAGAAGAACACACAAACCCTAAATCACACCTTGGAATCCCATAGTTTTTGAGTAATTAGCATTGACATTTTTGAATGCTAATTACTCATCCAGATTTATTATGGGATGAGCCAATGAGGTTGTGTTGGGGTCTGAATGTGTGCTATTTATGTGCTTGTTGGTGTGTTCTTAGTCTGAACTGGTGTGGTGTGCTGGTGGGTGATGCTAGTGTTGACTGGTAATTATTGGTATAAAATTCTGGTGCTATTGCTGGTGTGTGCTGGTAATGCTGTAATGCTAATCTGGTGAGATTCACTGTGCCAGTACTAGAAGCTGGTGTTGATTGACTTACTTGTTGTCCTGCTAATGTAAATGCTAATCTTGCCAAAGTATCACTGTGTTAATGCTGTGCTAGTGTAATGCTCTGTGCTGGCTAATATTTATTATCAGTACTGTATTAGTACTAATAATGGTCTAGTGATAGTGCTAGGTGTTGTGCTAGTGGTGCTAATATATGATTGCTGCTTAATTGCTAATGCTGACATGTTTCAATGTAATTAATTATTAGTATAGTGTGTGCTGGATTAATGATAAGTGTGTGATTAATATTTGTCTAATCAAGTATAGCTAATGTATTAGTACTGTAGCTGGTATGTAATATAGTACTAGATTAATACTAGCACTCATTAATGCTAGTATTAATTAGTATTACTAATACTAATATGCTAATACTTAATACCTAGTGTGCTAATACTGAGTACATATTAATAGTGTTAATAATACTACTGTATTTTAATTAATGCTAGTATTAATATTAATATATACCTAATACTAATATTAATACTAGTATTATGTAATAGTATAATACTATATAATACTAACAAATACTAATATTAATGCAAATATTAACATACTAATATATAGTATTATACCTAGTATTAATATAATACAGTATTAATACTAATTAGTATTAATACTATGCTAAATGTGTCTAGTATTATTGCTAGTATGTAGTTTACATACTTTATCAGATTAGGTATTAATTCTTTTAATATATAAATGTATTACCTAGGCTACTAATAGTATAGTATTAATACTAGTATTGTATTAGAATGCTACTACTAGCTAATACTAGTCTTAATACTAGTATTAATACTAATAATAGTTATATTTCTAATTAATAACTAGTATTAGTATTAATACTAGTATTAATACTAATACTAGTATTAATACTAGTTTAATATTTTTGTAAAAAGAAAAAATGGTTTCTTTTATATAATAAATGTTACCTAAAAATTACTTACTGTATTGTTTAAATTACACCTCTTGAACATTATGTATTTCAACAACACTATATCTATGTCAAGGACTTATTTTAATAGTAACATAAAAGAGAATGATTGTATTTTGGATTTATTACGAAAATACATCAAGGGCATACAAACGGAAAAGTTAATACTGTACTGTATGGGATATTTGTAGAAAGATGATGCACAATATGAACACTTATTATATCAGAGAGTTAATAATATATCTACATACGTCATCAGTCCCGGGAGTGTGTACAAGACTCTCCTTTGACCAATATTCATCTGTTAACATTTACCATGAACCACACAGTAAATATAGTTAATGTACAGACATAACAACACCGGGTACGTCATTTATACAGAAACAACGCCAAGTTTGATTTATATACAGAACTAATTTGGAATACGATTTATATAATATATACTGATAATAACCAGTACACTGTATATAATTTACATAGATGTTTGTTGGAAGGTAAAATGACTTAACACACACACACAATATTATCACAGAGACACTCACGAGGCAGAGATACAAGTGTACGATTCTCGGATTATGGTTATTACTTTACTTAGGTCATTAGCGGGTAATATTTAAGGTCATCGGTGGTTAATATTTGATCTGATGAAAGTTACTGAGGCCAACCTCTGACAAACCGGTAACTGAGCGAAGCCTGAATTCATAATAACTGGAAGTAACTGACTGACTCAATTCATCGGAGTTTGATCAACATTGGCACGACACTGGTGGTATTTTACAAGAAGTTGCAGATCTTTGCCTGTGAGAAGTGTTCGAGGGTGGTGAACAGTCCTCGCTAAGTTGTCTTAAAAGAATCATTAATGACGGTAATTAACATTTTAAAAGGAATATTGTGACTTTGGTGGTATACATCCATAGAAGTAAATAGAACTTATCACTGATATACAAAGTTAGTTCACCTTAAAGACATTTTGGTTATTACAACACCAAATACAGTTCTTCAATTAAATAATTTAAAATATGAATTTCAGTGCCATTGGCTTACGAAACACGGGTTTCAATCGGCTATCAAGAAGTACGTTAATCGGCCGTTATGGACGGCCAAAATAATAACCGACATAATAATCATTTAATTTGGATACAGGTAGTTCTCAAATCATCAACATAAAGCTGGGTAGGGTACTAATACAACATTTAATGAGACCAGTAAAGTGTACTCCAAGAAGTCATGGCTTTCGTAAAGTTATTGGCTGTCAAACGAAGAGCAATGAGTGTGACAATTAGTCACTTCTCTCAATAACAAATTTGTTACTATCACGTACGGTTTACTTTAAGGATAAACGGAGAATTACAAGGAGTTGATGATAAGCTTATCTTGGCAAGTAGCTGGCTGGTGTTACCCACTAAGAAGAGGAAACAGTGATGGCGGTCAAGTCTTTATTTACCGGAGATTTAACTTCCCAAAAAGACCTTCCCATTGTTTTGTTTTTTAAGAATAACGTTCCTAAAATTACAATGTTTGATTAAACTGATGGATAAGCGACTGTAAAAACACAAGTGGTGAGGAGAGAGTTCTTTCTCAAATAACACTTGGTAGAGGTGATTGGGGAGGAAGACCGTGGGGGGCCGTTCATTCCCACAGATAGGCAACTTTTAGCTTGGGGGAACCCTATATAATTATTTACAAATTTCATGGAAACTTATAAGTAAAGGCCATTATCCTTTATGAAAACTGAGGACTATAATTTAAAAGGATTTATGTCAATAATTAATTTCTCCTGCCTGGCACTGAACACTCCAGACTCAATCATATAAAAAAAACTGCATATAAGCAACAAGAGCTCCTATTATCACTCCAAAAATGGTTTCATATAATCTACGAGTATATAAAAAATAACATATTTGCACCATTCTCTCATGACTGGATGCTTAGAAGACTATCATACCACGCAACACTGTCTTAAATTCCTGTTTTTCTCTCATATACAGAGACCTTAATTTTTTTTAGTTACGATGAGAAATTCTGTATTTCAATTCAACGTCATAAACTAAGGGTGAGCAGAGCTGTTAGATAGTCGATGACAGAAGCCGGAGCTAGTTATGTCTCTCTCTCTCTCATTTACACACCTCGAGGACTGCAGAAGGTCCACCACACAAACTAAACATAGAAAACTAATGCACACACTCACCTCAAACTATAATGCCAACAAAACAATGCTGACCTGATGTGGCAAAGCAGCAATTAAAGTGTTGCCGTTGTTTGCGGAGGTCGTTACGTACAATGGTGGTCTTCAGTGTTGATGTTTGTGATGGCTGTTGTGGTTCTTGCTTCAGTCGGGGGGGGGGGTGTTCCCCACTTATCTGCTGCGCTAAACACATCGACTACTCTTGTGCTCACCCAAGGCTCCTGTTGAGGTGAGTCAAGGTGGACCTCACCAGCGCAGGTCACACTCGGCGTCACTTGTGTGGTCCCTGATGGAGTTGCTGCCCTCACTCAGCCGTCGACTCACAGCCGGACTCCTGCAATAAATCTGCTATGTCACACACTATATACTGTAACTGGATAAGGTGTTCCCTTCCCCACCTCTCAAGTACACAAAAATGACTCTCAAGAAACATGAAATTTCTACACAAGTTGGCTGCCATTTAAGAGCTAGGGTATAAATCCCAAATACTAATAGTTTATTTTTTATACTTGGGTGAGTAAAGAATCTCAGAAACTTTAATTCAGGTAGAGAAAAAAAAAATGGTAAAATGACTTATGATTTGAGAAGATAATAATATTAGGTGTGTGCTCTGAGGCATGACTGGACAAATATGGTATCAAAAAAAAGAAACTGAAGTTGAAATAAAAGCAAGAATTTCTGGGGACTACGAGGAACAGTGAAGCTGAAACAGTCAAATATCTGGCCTTCAGAAGGTTATGAACAAAGATACAAACACCTGCCACAGATATTAACTCTAAAATAAAATGATAAATTAAAAACACCCTTTGATTTCTTAACTCTGGGGCAGGTTCTGTGTACAAGTGACTTAGTGAATGTTATCAAATCAGGTGGTGTACAATTAAGAGTTAGTAAGGATTAGTAAATAGAAGAATTTACTAATTATTTGTTTAGAAATGGTTTATTTATTTCCAAACATCATTTAACCTGAGTCAATCACAACTATTAATATCCTGTATAACTGATATTATTTTCCTAACTAACAAACTCCAAAACCTAACCTAGCCCATCTGTAGTGTCAGCAGGGTACAGTACCTGGGGTGTGGAGTGTCAGCAGTGCAGGGTACAGTACCTGGGGTGTGTAGTGTCAGCAGGGCAGGGTACAGTACCTGGGGTGTGTGGTGTCAGCAGGGTACAGTACCTGGGGTACAGTAGGGTACAGTACCTGGGGTGTGTGGTGTCAGCAGGGTACAGTACCTGGGGTGTGTAGTGTCAGCAGGGCACAGTACCTGGGAGTGTGTGGGTCAGCAGGGTACAGTACCTGGGGTGTGTAGTGTCAGCAGGGTACAGTACCTGGGGTGTGGTGTCAGCAGGGTACAGTACTGGGGTGTGTATGTCAGCAGGGTACAGCACCTGGGTGTAGTGTCAGCAGGGTACACACAGTAGGGGTGTGTGGTGTCAGCAGGGTACAGTACCTGGAGTGTGTAGTGTCAGCAGGGTACAGTACCTGGGGTGTGTAGTGTCAGCAGGGTACAGTACCTGGGGTGTGTAGTGTCAGCAGGGCAGGGTACAGTACCTGGGGTGTGTAGTGTCAGCAGGGCAGGGTACAGTACCTGGGGTGGCGCGTGGGTCGTAGGGTGTGTTGCTGAGACCGCCGTGTCTTAGGGGAGCCGGACGTTGCGGGGGACCCTGTTGCCAGACGCCCACACATCAGGCAAGAAACAAAATAAATATTATGATGACCTCTGAATAAAATTTTTAAAATATCACTTTTCTTGAGTTATAGGGTGTCTACTGGTCTGGAAAACTCAGGCAATTTTACAAATAAACCTGGAAATTTATGTGAATTCAGTTCAACTTCAAATATTGTTATTTTGACAGCAGTATTACCATAAATTAATGATGTACTATATAATAGGTAAGTAATTAAACTTTTAGGAACAAATTCCAGTAAATAGTTCACTCCAATACTGAATTATTTGTGTACCTGTGATATTTTATGTTAGTGATCAAATATTACAGTTTATACTTTATCTATTAATGCTGCAATGATTATTGTCAGAGATGAATTGTTCTTATAATTAAGGGACTTAATTTAAGTGGATTATTCCACACATTTATCATAAGTCATATAGGTGGATCAGTAGTGACTTCGTTTTTAGCCGGATTTGTTTTTTTTTAACGTCCGGGTCGACCCACGTGAATAGCTCAAATCCGAGGAGAAAAATATGGAAGGGGGTCAATGTTTCTGCCGATGTTCATCACTAAGCCTAATGATCACCCTGATCATAGCTGGTTAAATAAACTAGTCAGACAGCTTTCTGTAACTATAATTTAGACTAAGTAAATCACAGGTACATACAGTACTTGAATTAATACTTCAATTCATAGCTGTTTAATAATTTACCTGTCAGCTTGGCTTGGGGTGGGTCCCAAAAGGGTTTTCAATTTCTTGATTATCATCAAATATATCATCTTTAAATTTCCCAATAGTGTTACAGGGTTACTGTACATATAATTGAAAACGTCTAATTTTGTTATTCTGTTGTAATAAATACTGTATAGGATTAATGTACCTCAAAGTTTTAAAATTTACACCTGGAAAAGCCAGAGAATTTTGTTTTGTCTGGCCAGTAGACACACTGATTGATATTATGTTATTAAAATCTTTCAAGGGATTACGGAGTAATTAGTGGGCTTACGGCCACTAATTACTCCGCAATCGTATCATTGATCATGTACAGTGATCCCTCGGTTAACGAGCGCCTCGGTTAACGAGTTACCTCCCATGAGATTCTTAACTTTGGTTAACGAGCAATCCCTCGGTTAACGAGTTTCATACGAGCCGACCTCAACAAGTTTTGGCTTGCACTTGGCGGTCAACCAGCTTTAGTATTAGTCCGCCAATACATTAATCGGTTCTAGGGCTTAAATTCCTTACTATTTTAGTAAATATCAAGAAGTTTATACTATTCAATAATTTTAAAAGTTAAATATTAAATTTTTTAGTCATTTTAACAATTATTGAACATAATTGAAGGTAAAGTGACTAGCTTTATGTGCGCCATCCAGCCTCTTAACACAGCAAACAGGCGTTAGTCTCTCTCTGTTTTCAGTGGAGGTAACATCTTGCTTGAGACTCTCTTCAACTAAATGCTTTTTTTGTGTTTCCAAGCAAATTATTGGTAATTTTGAAATTTATTTTACATATTGACAATATATAGCACAGTGCAGTGTTATTTTAAAGAAGATATTCTTTATTTACAACAAGTTTATAACTAAAAGATCACGTGTTGACATTGTTTGAATCCAGCATGGGGCCTAAGAGATCAAGAAAAGCGATTTCAATCCAAACCAAGCAGGAAATCATAAAAAAACATGAACAAGGCATTAGAACAAATGCGCTATGCAAAGAATATGGCATGTCGACATCAACTGTGTCGACATTTCTTGCACAGAAAGACAAATTTAAAGAAGTGAAAGAGAGACAAATCTACAAGAGTGTTTAAAAGTAGACCCCTAATTGCAGAAACTAGGTTACTTCTCATCTGGATTAGGGAAAAACAGATGAAAGGTGATTCAGTTTCTACTGAATTCATTTGTGAAAGAGCCAGGGAGATTTACGAACATTTAAAGACAGATCAACCTGGTTCTTCAGGCACAGAATTTGAAGATTTTCGGGCCAGCAAAGGCTGGTTCGAAAAATTTAAGAAAAGAAGTGACATTTTCAGTGTTGTTAGGCATGGTGAAGCTGCTAGTGCTGATAAGGAAGGGGCAGCAAAGTTTTTAGTTGAATTTAAAGAACTGATGGAAGAAGAAAATTATCTTCCACAGCAAGTGTTGAATGTGGACGAAACTGGGCTGTTCTGGAAAAAGATGCCCAAAAGAACATTCATCACCAGAGATGAAGCCTCCTTATCTGGGCATAAACCCATGAAAGACCGTCTCATTCTATTGCTTGGTGCAAATGCTTCAGGGGATTTCCGACTGAAGCCTATGCTTGTCTACCACTCTGAAAACCCCAGGGTGTTGAAGCAACAGAAAGTGGTAAGAACAAAGCTTGGAGTTTATTGGAAGTCCAACCGTAAGGCATGGGTGACAAGACAGCTCTTTAATGAATGGGCTGTTGATGTGTTTTGCCCTTCTGTCAAGAGCTACCTAACCACCAATAAACTCCCTTTAAAGGCTCTTCTCCTCATGGATAATGCTCCTGGTCATGACCCTGAACTTGCCAGAAATTTGGAGTATCAATTTGACTTTGTGAAAGTGTTGTTTTTGCCTCCAAACACTACATCAATCATACAGCCAATGGACCAGAATGTGATCAGCAACTTCAAGAAGTTGTACATGAAGAAAATGTTTAGGAGGTGTCATCAGGCAACTTCCAATGATCCTGAACTAACACTGAAACAGTTCTGGAAGACACAATTCAACATCCTGGAGGCTGTAAAATTGATTGTGTCATCATGGCAAGAAGTCTCCACTAGATCCCTCAATTCTTCATGGAAAGCACTGTGGCCATCAGTAGTCCATGATTTTGAGGGATTTGACGAAGAAACAGAGTTGGACCAGGAGATTGTGTCCATTGGTCAGTCATTGGGCCTTGAAGTGGAGGAGGAGGATGTGGAAGAGCGTGTGATGTCTCATGAGGAGGAACTTACCCCTGATGACTTGAAGCAACTGGATGAGATGTTACAGGTAGAGGCTGACAGTGGTGAGGAGGAAATTGAAAGTGATGACCATATATCAACTAAAGAGTTGAAAGATGTGATTTACCACTGGGAGAAGTTCAGGGAACTGGCTTCAAAGCACCCAGATGTGGAAAAAACTGAACTAACTTTGAGGACTCAATGGTCTCCTTCTTTAAACATAAGTTAATGGCGAGGAGGAGAGATGCCCCACAGACCACAATTGACACTTTCTTCAGTAAAAGGCAGAGGGAACAAGATGCTATCCCTCAGCCTTCAACTTCAAGAAGGAGAGAGGATGTTCATGGTGGAGAATCTGTCAGTCCAGAGGTTCCTGACATTTTCATGGAAGGTGACCCACCTTCCAAGAAGCAGTAAAATGCTTCTCCTTCACCTCCAATTCCTTCTCTTCTCCCTTCTCCTCCTCCACCTCCCACTTCAAATTCACATCATCATCATCATCATCCAGGAGCCTTCTACATACACACCTCAAAGTAAGTAAACTTTTCTACCTTTTTTGTTGAATTTAGGCAATTTTCGGTGAGCTGGAACCAATTACCCAAAAACCCATCGAAACAATGGTTTCGGTTAGCGAGCAACCTGCTGGAACGGATTGTGCTCGTTAACCGAGGGACCACTGTATTCATAATCAGCATGTGCAGGAGTACCTATAATGTGATTTTCAGCAAAATCAAATTTTTTACCAAAAGATACTTTTTTCTCAGAATTGAAATTTAAGGGGTTTAACTAATTAAGTACTGTACTTTCAGAATAACACATAAATGCTTAAATTGCACCTTGGAAATCCATAGTCGATGAGTAATGAGCATTGAAAAATGCCATTAAAATCTTCCAAGCATCATTACGGCCACTAATTACCCCGCAATTGAATCATAGATCATGTATTCATGATCAGCATGCTCTGGAGTATGTATACTGCAGTTTTCAGCAAAATTTAATTTTTGGCCCAAACCACCAAATATGTAAGCTTTACACCTTAGTAATAGTTTATGAAAATTTGTCAAAACTCATATTCTTTTAAAAACCTGAACACAAGTCAACATGAGCATCTCTGTACATGATGATGAACGACTCGGTTAAATTTTACAGTGTTATAATTCTTACAGAAAGTTTGAAACAAGAATTATCTTCAACAATCAATTGGTGCGACTCTTAACAATAACACAAGGTGCAGACCCAGGGCTATACAGTAGAACCATTCTGATGAAAATTCATGAATAAGTATGAATACCACAACAACATGTATATTAAACAGTATGTATATATTAAACACACCTAACTATATACAATACAGGTGCAAAATATACTACAGTAATTAAGAAGGTAGTTGGACAAACACAGGTGCAATATCTTCTACATACAGCTCCTCCCCGACTTACGACCTACTCGACTTACGACCACCCGCACTTACGACCTGCCTCGGTCGTACCATAATTTGGTCAAATAACGTATTTTCGAGTCCCAAAGTCAGTACACAGAAAAAATTTTTGTTTGTAATTCACTTTAAAATGGCTGGCAAGCTTAAAAGTGAGAGTTATGTGGTGCTGAGAAGAAAAAGAGACACCCATTTTAGATTTTCTATGTATTATTTAAGCATTTCCGACTTACGACCAGGATATCGGTCCCTAACCCCATCGTAAGTCGGGGAGGAGCTGTACTACTTTTAACCAAATCTAATCTCAGGGGACTATAACACCACAAGACATAGAAACACTATAAAATCATGCCCCTGTCTATAGTTTTACCCCCTACTGATGTGTACCTATGGACCTCTAACACACCTCACCCTTGATAGTCTTTATATGAGTACCTATTGTGGGAAGGTTTATAAAGTAGAGGAACTGTAAAGGGGAAGGTTTATAGAGTAGAGGAACTGTAAAGGGGAAGGTTTATAGAGTAGAGGAACTGTAAAGGGAAAGGTTTATAGAGTAGAGGAACTGTAAAGGGAAAGGTTTATAGAGTAGAGGAACTGTAAAGGGGAAGGTTTATAGAGTAGAGGAACCTTATGATCTTTGGAAACATTTGTAGTTTAACCTTATAAAAAAAGAATTAAAATAAACAAACCCAAGATTACCAACCCCCTGCTTACATCTGATTTAACACCCTGATGTTAAATTGAAGGAGTTAGATTAGGGGGTTTAATCCTCTGGTAAAATAAGCTGAGGCGCCTAATCTTTATGAGTTAAGTTAGGTTAGGGTGTATAATCCTCAGATGAAATAAGCTGGGGTGCATTATCTTCACAAAATCACCAAAATAAAAAGCACTGTTATTGCTAGTTAGGCCCGAATATTTGAAAGTATGTCAACAAATAGTACTAAATCACTTCGAGGAGGACTACATTTATTTGTCCATGTATTCCTACCAGGGGCTGCGGGTGTGTGAGAGAGTGAAGGAGTAAACACAAGACTGTACACTGTGTTTTATATTATAGACACCTGTACAAGTATGAGAGGTGTACAATAGGGTGTGACTGGTTGCCCTCCAAAAATAAAAAAATGGTCCTACAATGCTGTTCAAAGTTTTAGTGCTGTGTATTTATCTAGGAAACACATCTGTAAATCTTCTTGGAGATCGGTGCATGTTTGAGCTAGCACAGTCGGCTTTACAAAATAACAAGGAATATTATTATCTAATGAACAAATTTAGTGGAATTTCTTTTATTAGACTTATAAGATATACTAACACCAAGCAAATGATCGATCATATCAGTCTTAATACCCCTAAAACAATATTATAGATTAGTACGAAATACAATAATCCCAATAATTGCATTTCTAGGTTCAAGACCTATTTCTCTCAACTGGCGGACAATGAAAAGAAGAAATACTACTGCCCCGCAATGCCTGGGGTGTTTGAGGAGCACCAGCAGGAGATGGCTGACTTCTTCCGTGAATCTCTAGCCCAACCATTTACACGTGGCGACTACAAGGAGCTGGTAGAGCTTTGTCTGCTGCATGTAACTAAAGGATCCGAGCCAGTGAACTTCACGATGGTCTACCCCAGCGCACTTCACAAAGCAAGGTGGATGGCTAAACTGCTCTATACCCTCAAGATTGTTCTTTTGTGAGGCCAGATCAAAGAGCAGTTTCCCAAAGCCGAGGTTGTGACTAAAAGTCAAATCAGCAAGTTAGAACGGTTTGGTGTGTTCACAGTCGCTGTTTATGTCCCATGGTGGATTGTTTGCCCGTTCCAGCAAGTGCGCCACTGAATGACTTGAATTTGGTCGAAACCTTGGCTGAATTTGCCCCATATGACGCCACAATAGTTGACAAAGCACATGTGGCACTCGGTAGACACACTTGGTACCTAATTGAGGAGTTGGCCCCACTGGCTTTGTTCTTTTCCCAAGTACAAGAAAGGACAAAAGAGATGAGGAAGGCCCTTCTTTGCCACGAAGGCACTGAAGTTACTAAGAGAGTGGGGCTCAATCATGGGGGCTATGGAAAGCCATATCTTCCCCCTGTCCCAGAAAGAGGCACTGCCCTGGTGGACCTAATTGGGCATGACTCAAGCCGGTTCTTCACCATTTTAGGCATGCCCGATCAGTTTCTCCACAGTCCAGCCAGTGAATGGGCGGATCAAGACGACTACCTGAACATGAAACAGGTTGTGGACAAGCTTCAGGTCGTCAATGAGGCTGCAGGACGTGGTGTAAAACTTTGCCATGACTTTCTTAATGTTGCCAGGGATGAGGAGCGCTTTCAAGAAGTGATGAAACTGGACTTTTTTGGAAAAAAATGCCTTGCCGTACATACATTACAAGGGAGGAAACTTCTGTCCCTGGCCATAAGCCGATGAAAGACAGGCTTACCCTCCTTCTTTGTGCTAATGCTTCTGGTGACTGCAAGATAAAACCACTCCTTGTGTACCATGCAGAAAACCCCAGAGCTTTAAAAAACATTAGGAAGAACCGCCTTGGTGTTATGTGGCGGTCAAACCCAAAGGCTTGGGTGACCAGGAGTCTTTTCTCTGAGTGGGTGATTGAGGTGTTTGGACCCAGTGTTTGGGAATACCTCAAAGAGAATAATCTTCCACTGAAAGCTCTATTGGTGATGGACAATGCACCAGCCCACCCTCCTAATTTGATGGTTGAATTGCCAGAGTTCAACTTCATCACTGTGCACTTGTTGCCACCCAACACAACACCTCTCATCCAGCCCATGGATCAACAGGTAATTTGTAACTTTAAGAAGCTGTACACAAAGGCACTGTTTAGAAAATGTTTTGCATCCACTTCTTCCAGTGATGTTAGTTTGAAGGAATTTTGAAAGAGTCACTTCAATATAGTAGACGCTGTGTTTTTAATTGCGTCAGCCTGGAAAGAGGTTACTATGAGGTGTCTTTGTGCTGCTTGGAGGCCATTGTGGCCTGAATGTGTGCTTCAAAGAGACTTTGAAGGCTTCGAAGAGTTAGAGGAAGAGGATGTTGTACATGAAATTGTGTCTCTGGGCAATTCCATGGGCCTGGAAGTGGATGATGATGATGTTGAGGAGTTGGTGGAAGAGCACAGTAAGGAGCTGTCTACTGAGGAGCTGCCTGAGCTTCACAAAGAAGAAAATGAGGCACTGAAGCGGAGCTTAAATTCTGAGGAGTCAGGGGAGGATGAGGACAAGGAGGAAAGCCGCATCATTCCAGCCAAAGATCTCAAGGATGTGTTCTTTTGCTGGAGCAAACTGTCTAAGCTTGTGGAGGATTATCATCCTGATGTTGGTGCTGTGGAAAAGGCCATCAGTGTGTTTATTGACAATATGATGAACTACTTTTGGAAGGTCCAGAAATCAAGGTTGAAGCAGCCAACCCTGGATTCCTTCTTTAAAAAAGTAGCAAAAGACCCTACAGACAAAGTGCCTGTAAGACAGTCACCAAAGAGGGCTAGGAAGGATGACTCCTCTCCTTCCACCTCTTCTCCATAATTCTCTCCTTCCCCCTCCACCTCTGCCTCCTGTCCTGCATGCTGAACTACACTAAGGTAAGATAAAGTACCGTATTTTTTACATTTTCCACAGAAAATTTTCAGTGTTAAGTGGTTGTATTTGGGGGCCTGGGACGGATTAATCCTATAACGAACGAATGCTATAACGAACGAGGTTCTAGAACAAATTAGATTCGTTATAGCATACCCCACTGTAGTTGAAAATGACAGACTCCTCGTTCCTAATCAGCGCAAATGATCATCTGTTTCCGAACAGAAATCATGGTTTCTTGCTCTAGAGAAATAATACTTTGTGAATATATGATAAAACCCCTTAATGAACCATAAGAGAATAAGAATGATTAACTTTTTTGTGTTAGTGATAACAGCTTTTAATTAAGACAGGCAAATGATTTGTGTTAATATCCCTTATGATGGTTGTGTAACCTCATATATAGGCGCATATGCCGTATAAGCAAAATCGCTATTTTTCAAATTGCTGGAGCTCACTCAAATATGCATGAATCTTCAAAAAATTGCACGTGGGTATTTTTTATGTCAATATGCAACACCAAAATTTAGAACAGCATTGTAGGACAAAGTTGGAGCAACTGTCACACCCTAGTGGAGAAGGGAGAGTCATACTAGGGGAGAGGTGTACAAGGGGAGAGAAAGATGTACAAAGGGAGAGTCATACTAGGGGAGAGGTGTACAAGTATGATAGGGGAGGTGTACGAGCAGTATGACAGATGCAGCAGTAAGTGTGACAAACCTACTGGTCCTAAGGTGACGCGGTGGTCGGCGGTGGTGCGGTGGGCAGCGGGGGTCGGCCCCGGGCTCCAGGACGCTGCCGTAATCCTCCGTCTCTGAGGCCTCGTAAGGAAATCCTCGTGGTGCCCGGCTCTCTCTCTCACTCTGTCGGGAACAAAGTCACTTAGTTAAGGATAATTAAACTGATTTATTTATGTATCATTTACACCCACTTGCCAGCTTACAGAATAATCAAAACATTTTATTAAGATTCTCTGATAACAAGACAAAGATACCTGTACTTATTCAAAATGTTGAAATTTTGATAAATGTCTTAATAGTATCCCAACACTATGAGGTTTTGATAATTAATTATGTCAATAAATCAGAATTAATTAAAAAAATTCAAGATTTTGACCACAGATCCTTTATCAGTGTGTTGAGCAGGGTATGGATCAAATACAATTGTATTTGTATTTTAATTGTATTTAAATACATTTTCAATGTATTTGTAATTGTATTTTGGCACCCAGAAGAAAAAGTATTTTGTATTTGTATTTGGACACTTGTTAGTGTTACAGGCAGTAGGCTAGTTTAAGGCTATTGCCTTTTGCCTCTTCCATAAACAAAGGAAAAATTGATATTTTGTATTGCTACTTATAGACAATTTGTGAGGACGAAAACACTTTAATTTGTTTTATTTTTGTAATTTTTTTAATTTTTATTACTGCTATTGTTATCTGCAAGCAGTAACGTTGAACATTCTGGTAATTTTTACACTCCTGAGCGAGCTAAGTTGAGCCCAGAAATCTTCCGGGCATTAATGATGATAAAATGTAATTCTGATATGTAGGTATTGGGTTTGTATTTTTGAACTTGGAAATAAAAGTATGTGTATTTATATTTGTATTTTTGAATTAAGGCATAAAAGTATTTGTATTTGCATTTTTGCATCATAATGTCACAAGTATTTGTATTTGACCGCTAAAAATCAGTACAGTATTTGATCCAACCCTGGTGTTGAAGATGACCTTTATCGAGTTTTTGTGCAAAATAAATACTCAAGGGGAAGACAGCAAGTCAAGATAATGTCACAACAAGGCAGAAAGACCCGCATGAGCTATTCAAATATAGTATCGAGATTGGCAAATACTCTTTAACATTATGAATACAAGATCCTACAAATAGGATACACCAACCCTAAACACAATAACACTTTCCTTGATACAGTACAGTACTATCAATCAGGAGAAAGATCTAGACATTGTGATAAATCATTCACTGAAGGCTGCACAACAAGTGGGGGCCCCCCAGCAGTGAGAAAAGAAAATCAAGAGTTTGGAATTATAAAGTGTACCTTTGAATACAGATAGGAAAATGTTCCTTCAACTGTACAAATCTTTAGTACAGTATAGTACAGGTACTCCTCGACTTACGACCACCCGGACATATGACCGCCCCAGTCGTATCAAATATTTTTCAAATTACGTATTTTTGAGTCCCGATGTTAGTGATTGCGCTGTGTACTGACAAAATTTTTGTTTGTAATTCCCTTTAAAATGGCTGGCAAGCTTAAAAGTGAGAGTTTTGTGGTGCTGAGAAGAAAAAGAGACACCCATTTTAGATTTTCTATGTATTATTTTCACATTTTTGACTTACAACCTGGATTTGGGTCCCCATCCCAGCCGTAAGTCTGGGACTACCTGTATATACAGTACATCCCAGCCTGGATAACCATATACAGTACAGGCATGGAAACCCTACCTCCAGAAGGACCAAACATCCCTAGAAGAGGTTCAACACAGAGTCTAAGATGATTATGGAACTATGTCATCTCGATCGTCCAAGTAGACTGGGTGCCTTAGGGCTAACAACCCTTCACACATGACACAATAGGGCAGATGTCATTAAAACATTCAAAATCCTAAAGGGGATGGAAAACGTGGGCCCGGGACATTTTTTCATGATGTCGTGCACCATCAACAATGAGGGGACAACTACTCACCAAGCTATCATGAAGAACAAATATAAGGAACTACTTCTTCACACAGAGGTTGGTAGACCTATGGAGCCCAAGCAGTGGAATCAAGGATAGTACTGGAGCTCACATTAGCCCTTGACAATATTATCAAGAACAATGGAGGGATCCTACATGGACCACTGGCCTCCTCCCCTCGGCATGGCCACCTCTAGTGGGTGGCCATAAGGTTAAATAAGAGACAAATGTCAAATTTTGATAATTAATTATTGTAATCACTATGAGGACACTTAATTATCAAAATAGCAAGTTTTATACCACAGATCTTCAACTTGTGTGTCGAGAACTACCTATACACTGTACTGAAATTTTGAGATAATTTTCCGGAAATTAATTATAAAGACTTTAATCTCTTGTGACTATTACAACAATTAATTATCAAAATTTCAACAATTCAACCACAGATCAGCAGGTTAAAGACTACCTATAATTTGAGGTACCAAGTTATAATTACCAAGTTGGGGGAATCCACATCATGTAGTGAAGGTGCTTGGTACACGAGAGCAGTGAAGGCCTTTTGACTACGAGGTTGTGGGTGGTGGGCATGTGTGGGTGGTGAGGGTGGCGCTGGGGGTGGCGGGCTACCTCCACCCATCTGGAAGGTTGCTGTAGCATAAGGATACAGATCCTCTTCGCTGTATTCCCCTACAAGAGTAACAATAATCTTTAGTATAAGAAATAATACAGGCAGCTGGAAACAAAAGGTGATTCTTCCTAAAGTTAAAAATGGTGTCATTAAACTAAACAATTACCAAATATTATGGTACCTAAATTGACTCTGAGTTGCTGTTACAATGGCTCATTTATTATGACTTCACCGATATGTTTGTTTGGTAAAAGGGGGGGAGACGCATATCACCAGAAAGGGTCTATAGAACTGGTTATTTTTTCAGTATATGTTGTGTGGATGATAGATTGTAATAAAAATGATACAACAACTTTTCCCTTTAATTTTAGGTATATTTTAAATATTTAATTTTTTATTTTTTCAACTCCTTAGCCATAAATCACCTGTAGTGGCCAGGGCATGAAGGAAGATGGAAACTACGGGTTAAAACACATTGAAAAACTTATTATTTGGCAGTAATTTAACATCTCTCCACCTCTAACTTTTGCCATGGCTCAGCCCACCGCCTCACTCTACAGGTCTCAGCCTGCGAGGGGAGAGAAGAAACGGAAAATTGACAAGGTGGTGAGTTTGACCTTCCTTCTCGTTACGCCTAGTATATGATCGTGGTCTTATTGGCAGGACGAACAGGTGTAAAAATGCAGCAGAGAGCTGACATTAATATTAAGGTTAGTTTCTTTTACTGTTATGGATGCCAGTTAGTAACTTAATATGGATAAACAGCTTTATATGGAAGTTACATAAGGTTGGGTTAGGTTCCGTACATTGTCATTTACATTTTCTTATTTAGGACTTTACAGTAATACCTACATTAGCAGGAACTCTCCAATACTCGGAATGGAAATTGGCTCGGAATTTTTCCGGAAAAATTCTCACAGTTCCGAGTCTGTGAATGAGTTTCCGAGGTTGAGAATCGGGCGCATTTTCAGGAAAATTACGGAAAACCTCGCCATTTTTTTTCTCCAGTTCTGGGAGCAAATTCCGAGGCTGGAAATCAGGACCATTTTCTGGAAAATTTAAAGAAAACTTCCAGAAACTCTCCAATTTTTTGTCAGGTCAGGGAGAAAATTCAGAGGCAAAATAATGTGAAATTTCTGGAAAATTCCCAAAATTTTTCCAGGATCGAGAAAAATTCCGGGGATGTGAGGTTTATCCAGGTTTGAGAGAGTCGTCTCATTACCCAGAAATGTCTCGCCCCCTTAAGAACTCCGCACCAATTATTCTGGCTAAAGGGAATATCACAGTACATGTAAATAACATCTGAAATTTTGGTGTAAAATTCCATACATTCCTTCCGGTTATAACCGTCTCCTTCACCTTTACCATCTGTTTTAATGCACTAAATGAACATCAAGTCATTGCCATTGTGTTTGCAAGCTCTGGTTAATAAATCAAATCATCAATAATAATACTACTAATAATAATAATACAATATGTCTTATTTTAACATGAATAGACCAAATCTTATCAATGCTCAGTGGTCCAGAGAGGCAGTGACAAAAACCCTTACCTGTCTTCTAAACAATTAATTCTCCTTTTTTCTCCTCAAGACTTGTATTATCGAGTTCAGTAAACCCGTATACACCCATTAACAGTAACTCAACATACAGTAATAACTTAACACAGGTAACAAGACAGATAATCCGAGTTAATGACATAAACATTCTGGACATTTAAAATTACGTAAACATTAACTCAAAACAATAATTTCTACATTAACAATTGTACCTTAAATCATCACCTATATATATTCTAACATTAAATCATATTATAATCACTACATAACGTTAATAAATACAATAAAATACCTAAAAGAAGAGGAGGAAGTCAACCACGTGTTCCCACCACAACAAATGACACCTGAGTGACGTTGAATTAACTCTAATATCACCAGAAACTTTTAACAAATAAACCCAAATATATCAATAATATGGTTTTATTTGCTATTTTATTTTTAGGAATACTTAGAATAACAAATAAATATTATAGAACCATAGGGAACAGTATTATTTAGTTGTTATTGTGTAATCGGCGCGTTTGTTCTGGCTTCCCTTTAAATAATTTACCTTATCCTTTTAAATGCTTATATAACTTATGTGTATATAATTCTTTTTAAGTCTGGTAGAGTTATTATTCTTATGTATTTTCTTACACTTTTTATTAACATATATTATTCCTTTGTGTGTTGTATTGGTTAATTTAAATACTGTAATTTGTAATATATCGAATTAATTTCATTATTTTAGGAATATTTTGATCCCTTGTATAATTTGCTGGGTAGGCCTAAATACTAATATAATTTGGTTTATCTATGAGTTGTACTTTTGTGATTATTTATTCATTATATTTTGTCGTATATATTACTCGTATATTATTTGGTATAGCTATGAATTATTAATATATTATGCGTATATATTGTTCCATTTTATATATACTATACTTACGTATTTATGATCCTTATACTGTTTTATTTATGATTTTTTTATATATTTTCATACCTGTGTTGTCTCTGATATCTTGCTGCTGCTGGGGTGGTGTAGGTGCCGGCCTCCTGACGGTGGTGTACACGTCCTCACGGGCCTGTAGTGCCGTCTTCTCCTCCGCTGCGCCCGTCACTCCATCAGGCAGCTCCTTCTGCCCTGGGCTACCTGAGGGTCCTGTTGCCAGAGTCGAGAGATAGATTATTATATTAAATTTTTAGATCATATGAAGATTATGACCCCCGAGCTTATTCCACCTGCTGGTTAAATATGCTAATGTTAATCTAACCTAGTTTAATCAAATCTAACTTAGCCTAAACTTTAGGATATTTAGATGCATTAACTAGACACACAGCACAGGAGGGAGAACTCACGCTTCCTGAGGCAGACGCACACGGTGGTGACGGTGAGAAGGAGGGCGAGGGCGGACACTGTGGCAGGCACCAGCACCCGGGGGTCACGCCACACTGGGGAGGTAGATGGAGTGCTGCCCCAAACACTCCCGCCTACACCTACGCCCGTACCTGATGGGGAGAGTGGGCGTGGGGGCGTGAGTTAGTGGGTGGTGTAGAGGGGTGACTGTGAGGGGTATATAGTTAGCTGGATAATGAAAATAATTGATAAAATGATAGTTTGGGTGTACCTGTGTGGCCAATACCGGGTGTGGTGACGGTGTAGTGGGCGGGTGTAGCTCCTGCAGCATTGTGGGCGGTCACCCTTAGCTCATAACGGGCGCCCGCATCCAACCCGCCCACAGCGAAGGTACGGGCGGGAGGAACTTCACTACCAACTGCCAGAGAAAAATAAATTGGTGGGTTTATATGAGAGAAGCGTCTATCGTCTAGGTAATAAATCATCGTACTCAAGGAATTAATCATTAAATTACTATAAAACACATTACCTGTAGTCCAGTGTCTTGTTGAGTCCTTGCGGTATTGGACGCTGAAGTGGGTGATGGGGCAGCCTCCGTCACCCCACTGCGCCAGGTACAGCGTCGCCTGAGAGCTGTTGGTGGTTACGAACTGGAATTGTGGGGGAGCTTCAGGAGGCCGGCCCTTAGTTCGTGCTGCTTCTGTTGACGAGGCTATGCTGCTGCCTGTGGGGTGAGGAGGTGACCAGGGTATATATATTGTACATTTATTTACACTGAAAATAGTCTCCCAAACGTAACCTTATAATAGAAAACGAAAGTCATCAAAGAAAATAATACTTATTTTATGGATAACTTAAATGTATTGAGTTAGACTAGGATAGATAATTAATTTATTATATATTATTAATTTAAAGGTGATGGGGTGAAAAAATATGATGAAGGAGATATTTAGAATAATTAGAACGTATGAGGAATAAACTAGATAAAAGAGGATGGAAAAAAAGAACGAGAAAAGATAATGAAAGAAAAGAGATGACATTAGAAACGAATTAAAAACTAAAGGACGAAAAAATAAGAAAATGCAATGGAAATATCACAGGTGGTAAGTAAATTAACGTTGAAAAACTAATTGCGATCTCCAAATGTCATTAGAACAAGTAATTTAAAACCATTTCATAATTTTGACCACAGATCCTTAATCAGCGCGCCGAGGACTACCTGTACTAAGATTTTGAGCTTATGTGAGCATGAAGGAGCATTTTGGCACTGATTTAGGTGGGTGTGGGTAGTTTGGCACTGATCTATATGGGCGTGGGCGGTTTGGCACTGATTATAGGTGGCTTGAAACTGATATGTAAAGGCTGTGGGCGGGTTGGCACTGATCTATATGGGTGTGGGAGGCATGGCACTGATATGTAAAGGCTGTGGGCGGGTTGGCACTAACCTATATGATTGTGGGCGGTGAGGTAGAAGTGGTGGAGGGTGCCACAACGGAGACCTGTGGCTGTGTAAGATCTCTGGTCACCATCCACCTCCGCCGTCACCCACTCTCCACCCGCCGACCTGTGGAGGAGCGTCACCATCACCCTCACTATACCCCTGTCACTGTACCTCTGTCATTGTACCTCTGTCACTGTACCCCTGTCACTGTACCTCTATCACTGTACCTCTATCACTGTATCCACTGTATCCTCTGTCCACTGTACCCCTGTCACTGTACCTCTATCACTCCTCTATGCTGTACCTCTGTCACTGTACCCCTGTCACTGTACCTCTATCACTGTACCTCTATCACTGTACCTCTATCACTGTATCCCTGTCATTGTACCCCTGTCACCGTACCTCTGTCACTGTATCCTCGTCACTGTACTGTATTATCCCCTCACTATACCCCTGTCACAGTACCCCTGTCACTGTAACCCTGTCACGGTAACCCTGTCACTGTAACCCTGTCACTGTAACCCTGTCACTGTACTGTACTATCCCCTCACTGTACCTCTGTCACTGTACCCCTGTCATTGTAACCCTGTCACTGTAACCCTGTCACTGTGCCTCTGTCACTGTACCCGTGTCATTGTAACCCTGTCACTTTAACCCTGTCACTGTAACCCTGTCACTGTACCCCTGTCACTGTACTATATTACACACTCACTGTACTCAACTATACTGACACTATACTGGCACTCTATTGGCACTACACTTGTACTATACTGGCACTATATTGGCACTTTACTGATAATAGACTGGCACTATACTGACACTATATTGGCACTTTACTGATAATATACTGGCACTATACTGGCACTTTACTGATAATATACTGACACTATACTGGCACTTTACTGATAATATACTGGCACTATACTGGCACTTTACTGATAATATACTGACACTATACTGGCACTTTACTGATAATATACTGGCACTATACTGGCACTTTACTGATAATATACTAACACTATACTGGCACTTTACTGATAATATACTAACACTATACTGGCACTTTACTGATAATATACTGGCACTATACTGACACTTTACTGATAATATACTAGCACTATACTGGCACTCTATTGGCACCATACTGGCACTATACCATAAGACACACAGACCCGCCACCTGATTCATCCTTAATTGACAATAACTATCTCTCACTACTGGAGAGAGAGAGATCAGGGGGGAAAAATAGAAAGAAGGAAGAAAGAAAGAGGGAAACAAAAGGGAAGAAGGAGGGAAGGAAGAAGAATCACACTCACCTGTAGTGGAGTGTGGCCCCTTGTAGAGACGCCCCCCCGGTATCCTCAACGCTCCACTGAACCCTGATGGAGGAAGCTGTGGTCTCGGTGACGTGGAGGGAAGGCGATGATGGAGGCACTGTATGGGAGGAAAGGAGTGCCAATATTACCTTGTTAGTGCCTAGTGGAGTCTTGTTTGTGTCTGTATGATCTAGGGTTTTCTTTCTTTCTCTCTCTTTTTCTCACTTTCTCTCTTTCGATCTGTCTTTATCTGTCTTTTCTCTCTCTCTCTCTCTCTCTCTCTCTCTCTCTCTCTCTCTCTTTCTTACTCTCTATGTCACTCACTTTTTATCTCTCTTCCTGTCATTGTCTCTCTCTCTCGCTCTCTTTCGCTCTCTCTCGCTCTCTCTCTCTCTCTCTCTTCCTGTCATTGTCTCCCTCTTTATGTCTTCTCTCTCTTTCTCTCTCTCTCTCTCTTCTCTCTCTCTCTCTCTCTCTCTCTCTCTCTATGTTTTATCCTCTCTCTCTCTCTCTCTCTCTCTCTCTCTCTCTCTCTCTCGCTCTCTCTCTCTCTGGACACTTACCCAACACCGTTAGATTGTAAGTCACTGCGTCACTGCCGTGGTGGTTGGTGGCGGTACAGGAGTAGTGGCCACTGTCGCTCCTCTGGATGTCAGCTAACGTCAGCGTCCCGTCAGGCTGTACCCGGAACCTGTGTAAGATGACCTCTGTGTGACCTCCTGACCACTGTGTGACCTCCTGACTTCTAGGTGACCTCCTGACCTCTACGTGACCCCCTGAACACTATATAAGCTTCTGGCCTCTATATGACCTCCTGTCCTCTATATATGACCTCCTGACCTCTAGATATAACCTCTTGAACCTTTACGTGACCTCTTGACCTCTATATGACTTTTAGATATGATCTCCTGACCTCTAAATATAACCTCCTGACCTCTAAGTGACCTCCTGACCTCAAATATACCCACCCCAGTGACCACAAGACTTACCTGTCGTGTTTGGCAGGTATAAGCTTCCTCTGATGAGTCCAGGTAAGTGTAGGCTCAGGTACACCCACTGAACCACACGCAAGACTCACATCCTCCTTCCACGCCGCTGTCAGGTTCCCGCCCACCGCCCACACGCCCGCAGGTACTGGGGGCGTGAGAGGTGATTAAACAGGTAAGTAGTTTGATCGTTAAGGTTTTGTAAATTTTTATATATATTTGTGTGTGTGTATGTACCTGTGTGTGTGTGTGTGTGTGTGTGTGTGTGTGTGTGTGTGTGTGTGTGTATGTGTGTACGTACCTGTGTGTGAAGGCTTGACCACAGTTATTCTGCTTGCTGGTCCTTCTCCCATCTTAGTGGAAGCTGTCACCCACACCTGTAAAACAATATAATATAATAGAGAAATACCTGTTATTACACCTGAAGCTTAGTTAGCAATTAAGGTGATGACAGCTTAATTAAATCACTTACCTAAAAGATTATTTCACTAATGAATTAATTTTTTTTTTTACATTTATTTGTTAGGAATTAGTTGACAGTTGATTATTCACTGTATAATATAAATCACTGTTGTATACTGAAATATTTTTTGTATTTTGAATTTAATTGTTTTATTTTATTCTGGTGTTTGTATTTGTTTCTTATTAATATTTATACTTTAGATGTTTACTATTGTTTAATGGCTATTATTTGATTGCTATTTGTATCGAGGAGGCAATGTGTGTGTGTGTGTGTGTGTGTGTGTGTGTGTGTATTGGTCAGATTCAAGGTAGTTTCTCTCTAACAGCCACTGACCTGATGTGTTGTGTGAGAGAGGTCATGTAAGGTCAAGTGGGTCAGATGAGGCTCCACACGGCGGCTATGAGCACCACCCCGGCCTCCTGCAGGTTCCCAGTGGACGGTGTAGCGGGTGATGCGTCCGTGTGGGTGAGTAGGGGCGGCCCAGGACACTACTGCCGCCCGAGGTCCTGAGACAACCGCCTTTACGCTAGCTGGAGCTTCTGGTACTGTAGGGGAGAGAGGGTGATAGTGTGGGGTGGTGGGGTGATAGTGTGGGGTGATAGTGTGGGGTGGTGGGGTGGGGTGGTGGGGTGATGGTGGTGGGGTTGATGGTGTGGGGTGGTGGGGTGATGGTGTGGGGTGGTGGGGTGATGGTGTGGGGTGGTGGGGTGGTGTGGGGTGATGGTGTGGGGTGATGGTGGTGGGTAATGGTGTGGGGTTGTTGATGGTGTGGGGTGATGGTGTGGGATGGTGATGGTGTGTGGGGTTGATGGTGTGGGGTGGTGGGGTGATGGTGTGGGGTGATGGTGGTGGGGTGGTGTGGGGTGGTGGGAGTGATGGTGTGGGGTGATGGTGGTGGGGTGATGGTGTGGGGTGATGGTGGTGGGTGGTGGGTGGGGTGATAGTAGTGGGGTGATAGTGTGGGGTGATAGTGTGGGGTGATAGTGTGGGGTGATGGTGATAGTGTGTGTGTTATGGACGTGTTGTGTCTAATTACACCATAACACGTCATCACAACACTCCATCACCACAATACACAACACTATCTTTCTCATGTTAATCTCTCCCTCATCTCTCTCTTCTTTTCCTCACTCTCCCTCCCTTTCATAACCCACCCTCTCCCTACCTCTCCCTCCCTTTCATAACCCACCCTCTCCCTACCTCTCCCTCCCTTTCCTCAACCCTCTCTCCCTATCCACACCCTCACCCACCCTCACCCTCCCTCACCCCTCAAAACTCACAATCTTGATCAGTGGTACAGACGAATGGGTGAGAGTGGACGCCCTCCCCTGCCCTGGTCGAGGCTCCTACAGTCACAGTATAGTTGGTCCAGGGTGTGAGACCAGCTAGTGTCACCCCCAGGCCCTCTGACACCACACTGCCGCTCCTTCCTCCTTCTGCGTCGAGGAAAAAAGAAAAAGGGAGTTATTATTTTTAGTTACCCCTTAAAATTTATCATAGAAAACCTTAGTTACGGGGTTTTCTTTGGTTCTCTTTCTATTTGTATCCTGCTGTGTTTGTCTGTGTGTCTGTTTTTCTGTCTTGAGTGTTTGTCTGTGTGTGTGTGTCTCCATCTCTGTCTGTCTAGCTGTTTGTCTGTCTCCTTCGCTCACTCTCTCTCACGGGAAGAGCTTAAAATATCACCACACTGAAGGGATTAAAACAGGAAAGATCAAAGGCCGTCATTGGCTATTACACTAACCAATCAGAACACAATTAATCAGTTACCAGATATCACCAGAAGGATTAAAACAGATTAATGTAGGATTAACAAGGATTTTTCTGCCTCACTATGGTAGGAGACGTGAGAGAACGAGTGAAAGAAGGCGTAGCAGTAATAAAGGATATTATTTACTCACCATGGGAGGAGGCGTAGGAGTAAGCAAGACGGTAGTTATTGATGACGCCATTCCTGTGACGTGGTGGAGGAGGTGACCACGTCACTACAAGGCTTGATGACGTCACACTCTCACATTTCACGTGACCTGGGGGGGCGCTGGGCTCTGGGGGGAGAAGGGGGGGTTAAGGTAAACAACAATAATAATAATAATATCCACACAATATTTCATTACCCAATATTACATCCACCCACAACCACCCAGAGCCCACCGCCCACACTTACTGTCCTCCAGGGTGGTGCCGAGGGCGGGCGGGGAGGCGGGTCCGGCGCCCTTGGAGTTGAAGGCCTGTAACACGACGGCGTAGCGAGCGTGTGGGCGTAGACCTGCCAGGGTAGCAGTGGTCACGCCCACCCCCTCCACGCCCACTGTGGTGAAGTTATACGCCCCACTCTCCCCCTCACTGTTGGGGAGAGATGAGAGGGATGTGAGAGGGATGAATAAGAAGTGATGAGTGGTGAGAGAGAGGGATGAATGAGAGGCATAAGTGAGAGGTGAGAGATGAGAGGTGAGAGAAATGAGTGGTGAGAAGTGAGAGATGAGAGGTGAGAGAAATGAGTGGTGAGAAGTGAGAGGTGAGAGATGAGAGGTGAGAGATGAGAGGTGAGAGAAATGAGTGAGAGGTGAGAGAGATGAGAGGTGAGAGAAATGAGTGGTGAGAAGTGAGAGATGAGAGGTGAGAGAAATGAGTGGTGAGAAGTGAGAGATGAGAGGTGAGAGAAATGAGTGGTGAGAAGTGAGAGATGAGAGGTGAGAGATGAGAGAAATGAGTGAGAGATGAGAGGTGAGAGAAATGAGTGAGAGGTGAGAGAGATGAGAGGTGAGAGATGAGAGGTGAGAGATGAGAGGTGAGAGAAATGAGTGGTGAGAAGTGAGAGGTGAGAGAAATGAGTGGTGAGAGATGAGAGGTGAGAGATGAGAGAAATGAGTGAGAGGTGAGAGATGAGAGATCAAAGGTGGCACCTACCTGGCATCCTTGAAGCCCAGGTAATAGCCCAGAACAGTGCCATGAGTCAGGTTAATTGGCGGCGGCTCCCACGTTACCTGTAGCGCCGTCGACGACACTGCCACCACCTGTAACATGGGCCCAGGTGAGTCACAGGTGAGTCACAGGTGAGTCAAAGGATGAGTCATTAATAAATCACTAATGAGTCACAGGTGAGTCACAGGTAAATCAAAGGATGAGTCATTAATAAATCACTAATAAGTCACAGGTGAGTCACAGGTAAGTCACAGGTAAATCAAAGGATGAGTCATTAATAAATCACTAATGAGTCACAGGTGAGTCACAGGTAAGTCACAAGTGAGTCACAGTTGAGTCATTGCCAAGTCAGAGATTAGTCAATGGCTAAATCATTAATGAATTACTAATGAGAAGTGAATCAATAGCTGGCTCATCAATGATTCACTGGTGAGTCAGAGGTGAATCAAAGGTAAGTCAAATTTGAATCAAAGGTGAATCAAAAACAGAATCATCAATGAATCACCGTCAAATCAAAGCTGTGTCACATATCAATTACATACGCTACAATAATCACTATGTTAATTATGACCTATTTTTTTCTAATTAATTTTTCAAGGTATTATTTATTGTAATTAATTAGCGTCAGGTGAAGTGTTAAGACCATCATTTTTATATAATTATTTTCAATGTTTTTTGGGGGTAATTAGATTAGACGGATGTGACGGGAGATGTGTGACGGCGTGTGTGTGTATGTGATGAAAAGTGACAGGTGTGTGATGGAAATTGACAGGTGTGTGATGAAAATTGACAGGTGTGTGATGAAAATTGACAGGTATGTGATGGAAACTGACAGGTGTGTGATGGTAAATTACAGGTGTGTGACGGTAACTGACAGATGTGTGACGGAAACTGACAGGTGTGTGACGGAAACTGACAGGTGTGTGACGGAAACTGACAGGTGTGTGACGGAAACCTAACAGGTGTGTGATGGTAACCGACAGGTGTGTGTGACGGTAACTGACAGGTGTATAATAATAGCAACGTGTACAGTATCCCTGAGAAGCGTATATATATATGTGACGGGGTACTGACGGGTAAGTGACGGGTAGGATACGGGTAAGTAACGAAGGAGGTAACGAAGGACTAACTCACATTAACATTCTGAGGATGTCCTGTCGGTGGTTCCTCCTGAGTGGTGATCCTGAGAGGCGGTGAAGGAGGACTGCGACCCACTCTATTCTCTGCTACGAGTGTTAATATATACACAGTGGATGGTACAAGACCCTCCAACCTAACCCTCCTCTGGTCACCCTCCACTGTGACTTCTCGAGGCCCTACAAGTCCTGAGAGGAAGGAGAGGTCATATTAGGTCACGACTATAAGTTTTTTTTTTTGAGGGGGGGTCATATGAGGTCAGGTCATCGAGAGGGAGTTTGAGGGGAGATAATTGTGGGTATTATTATTTTGGTTTAGTAGATATTGAAGGAGGTAGAGATGACGTTGTAGGGACACACACACACACACACACACACACACACACACACACACACACACACACACACACACACACACACACACACACACCTAGGAGACTGCTGTACGTCGAAGGTCACCAGGTAGGCTGTGATAGGGGCATTGGAATCCTGAGGGGGAGTCCAGGTAAGCGTGAGGTGACGTGATCCTTCCTCCGCTACAGTCACACCTGAAGGAGGCCCTGGGACGTCTGTAGGAGGGGCAGAAGGAGGGGAGAGAGTCTGTATTAATACGATATTGTTATGACGTATGGGAGATGGTATTGTATTTAACCAGCTGTATTTTATATCACGTTACTGTATTAATTATCAAGTATATTGTATTAAGCTATGGTCAGTCTTGTTTATGGGTTATTTTATTTTGTACCGTTTCTGTAACTTATAGAATCACTGTAACTTATACCATCATCACTGTAAGTCAGATTATCATCACTGTAACGTCTACCATCATCACATCATCACTGTATCCACCACACCACACAATCATTGAAGTATCTACCATCATCACTGTACTGCCACATCACACACACTGTACCCCACACCACACATTGTACCACACACCACACACTGTACCCCACACCACATACTGTACCACACCACACAATGTACCCCACACCACACACTGTACCACCACACCACACACTGTACCACCACACACACACACCACCACACACCATGTACCACCACACCACACACTGTACCACACACTGTACCACCACACCACACACTGTACCACCACACCACACACTGTACCTTGCACCAGAAGATGGAAGTCAGCTGTGAGTGCACCGTGTGTGTTTGTAGAGGTACACACATAGGTGCCTGAATCACTGATGTGTGTCGAACGTAAAACTAATTCCGACACTCTGCCACCCTCAGTCGCCCTCTCTGACACCTCGTACCTGTTGAGGGAGGTAAGTAGGCGTTAATTAATACCTATTTACCTGTTGTTACCTGGAGGGAGGAGATGAGGGGTAGATATAACATGACAAAAACAAAAACAAAACGATAATAACATGTAAGAAAAATTATTAGCATACCTACCCAAAGAAAAACAAACACCCCAAACAAACAAACAAACACACCCATAAGGAGGAGAGAAGAGGGGGTGAGAGGGGGGGGGGGTTCTTACCTAGGGAGAGGGGGGAGAGGGGCAGCACCTCTCGTCCAGCCAAGGGTCAGAGGGGCATCACCATGGGCTTCACAGCTCAGTGTTGCAGTGCCACCTACCACCACCTGCTGACGTTGACTCCTCACGCTAAACCACGGCGGCTCTGTTCACATACAACACGTAGTTAACAATGGGTATTTACCTTAATATCGTAGTTAACCTATTTAATGTTCCTGTATGCCAATTTTACTCATGTTATTGTCTTATTTATTCATTTTACTCACTATTAATACCCCATTTTGCTTATTTTATTTACTATTAACTCAATATTTACCAATTTTACACACTCTTAACCCCATATTTACCCACTTTATTCACCATTAACAACTATTTCCTCACTATTAACACCCTATTTACTCACCTCACTCACTATTTACTCACCATTAACACTGAGGTTGACCACTTTGGAGAGGCCGGCCCCTACACCATTATTTGCCTCACACAGGAACCTTCCCTCGTGTCTCCTCTCGGCTCTACTCACTGCCAAGGTGCCGTTCTCCCAGCCTGACACGCCTCCCTCACCCGTTGCCACGCCTACGAACTGTCCTGAGGCTGTAGAGGGCGTGGCAGGTGGTGAGGAGGGGAGGAGGGGGAAGGTGGGTGGGTGGGTGGGGGAGGTGGGTGGAGAAGGAGCAGACGGGGGAAGGTAGGAGGAAGGAGAGAGAGGGAAGATAATGAATTAGTAGAATATCAACATAAAAACAGCTAATAATAATACTATAAAAGACACCTGCTAATTACTATACTACACACCTGTTAATTACCATATCACCTGTAGGTAATTAACTAATCATTTACACTATATAATGATATGAATTAGAAGTGATGTCGCCTTCGTTGGTGAGCTCTGAGGTATAGATTGATAGGGCGGCACGAGATTGGCAGGTGTTGCATGTGTGGAGGGCTACTTCTAGTGAGGGAGGGGTGGTGACTTACTTTATAGGGGTGGTGACTTATTTTATATACATACACAGACCCACACCCAATATACACCCCTCATACACACACACACACACACACACACACACACACACACACACACACACACACACACATACTAATATCAATCATTACAATAATAGAAACAAAATTATTTATTATGATTAAAAAACCTTTACAAACCATCTAATCTCCTTTTACCTTATGAATAGCCAATCCCTAATGTACTTTCCCTATTCATTCACCAAGATTAATAGTTGTTCACTCACTCACCAGGTGGCAGCAGCGGCCAGTGTATGTATCTGATAATTATCGTATCTTGGCAACCTAATGTAAACATGACGAGGTGTGTACTTTACGATTGTTGTACTTTACGATTGTTGTACTTTACGATTGTTGTACTTTACGATTGTTGTACTTTACGTTAGGTTAGGTGAGGTTAGGTTAACATTTGGTATGATTAGTTTAGATTAGATTAGATTAGTTACCCCTTTAAACCCTTCAACACAAGGTGGCTCATATAGAAATCACAATAATAGTTCTGTCTGTCTATCACTCTGGTTCACTCTACACAATAGACGCAGTTGTAAGGCTATAGTGTGTGTGTGTGTGTGTGTGTGTGTGTGTGTGTGTGTGTTAGTTGTCTGTCTGTCTGTATGTGTGTATTATTATTATTATTATTATTATTATTATTATTATTATTATTATTATTATTATGAGACAATAAATTAAGTCTTTTGTTAAGGTAAAGCGGCAGGTAAAGTCATTAATTAAGTAGGAGAAAGGGAACATATTTTACCTGTGAATTTATGATGATGGTGGTGTGTAGGTGGTAGTGATACGTACACACACACACACACACAATAAATCACTCTATTCTAATTGGATGATAAAATACCCTCCTTTTACTACCCAATAAAACAGGAATAAATATATGTAGCCAATAGGAATGCTTGTCCTATTAGCTCTCTATTCTAATTGGGTGTTGGCTCAGTCACTGATTACTTACCAACAAAATGGATAAATGTATTCATAAGTTCATCCAGCCAATAGGAACCCTGAACCTCATATTACTCTATTCCTATTGGATATACGCTATTTACTTCACAAATGAAGGAATGGATGTGTATATTCAACCAATAGGAATATACATACGTCTCTTACTCTACTCTAATTGGCTGTCATCACTCCTGTTTATTAGTTCCCCGTAAACTATCAATTTATATATATATATATATATATATATATATATATATATATATATATATATATATATATATATATATATATATATATATATATATATATATATCCAACCAATAAGAAAGCTCGGGCTCATATTACTATACTGTAATTGGATGATGACGCACTCGCTGATTACTTTCCGATGAAACGTGAATATTGAAATCTAACCAATAGGAGCTTTTCATTCTCGTGGTACTCTCCTGTGATTGGGTAATAGCGCTCTCACTGCTTCCATGTCGATAGAGAAGGAAATAATACGACATTCTGATTGGCTAACAACATTACCGTACTTGTTATTTCCCTCGTCGGATATAAACACGTCTATTTAGCCAATAAAAACACTTATCCCTGTAATACGCTGTTTCTAATTGGCTGATGACACTCTCGCTGAATACCAGCCGACAAAACACGAATATATATCTGACAGCCAATAGAAACACTCATCCTGATATTACTACATTCTAATTGGATGATAACGCGTCCGTTTATTACTTTGCCAATAAAACAGATGAATTGTGATATGGGATGTTATGACGGAGGCTGAGAGAGAGAGAGAGAGAGAGAGAGAGAGAGAGAGAGAGAGAGAGAGAGAGAGATGAAAACTTTCTCTCTTTTTGTTTCTCTATTTTTCTTTGTTGTATCTTTCTCTCTATTTCTCTCTCTGTCTCTCTCTCTCTTTCTCTCTCTCCATTTAACTATCTATCTATCTAAAATCTATATAAAACTTTCTCTAAAAACTATCTAAAAAAGTATCTCTAAAAACTATCTGTAAAAATTAATTAGGGATATTGAATAAAGGATCAATTGCATTATAAATCACTCAGTTGCTGTCATACCACTTTCAATAATAATTAAAGGGACTCTCTCTCTCTCTCTCTCTCTCTCTCTCTCTCTCTCTCTCTCTTCGTCCTCCTTCTCTCTCTGTAAATCCAAGTCGTTTTAATTGCTGAGGCGATAGATAGATAGATAGATAGATAGATAGATAGACGAGCAGACAAACAGACAGACAAGTTCAATAAAATATCCCCCTAACAATAATTCAACTCAATTATAATTTTTTTTTAATCCTAACCAAAATAAGAGTAAAACATATAAATATATTATTAATTGCGTCAGCAGCTCAATACCTGCTTATATTTAATACCTGACAGACTGATTTGACGGACAATGTATATATAAATGAGGGAGAGTTAAGTGAATACGTGTGACTACTACAGCGGTGACTGGTAGGACAATAAAGTCTACGGTGTTTGTTACCCACGTTTCACTACCCCACACACCCACCTACCCTCTACCACACAACTATGTAACAACCACCTTTCGTTACCATCGTTCAGGAACTACTAAGCCTTTATGGTAGAAACAATAAGCTAATATAGACTAGTATATCGTAAACATAAGTCAAACTATAGATGACATAATAAATGAACATCGTATCAGTTGCCAATAACCGCTCAAGTGATGATTTTTCTGTGGGAACCCGAGTGCGTTTTGCTTTATATTTATTTTATATGTCTATCTATTTATATATATATACCTTTCTATTTATTCCTTATCGATGTTGTTTCCTCCTTTTTTTTCTCTAGAGATGACAGTAAAAACAAAATCGCATCAATCGTCAATAAACACCATAACATAATTTTTTACCCGAGAAACAAATCCATCTCTCAACTTGTTTAAACCACTTTCTCTCACTTGTTCTCTCACTTTTCCCTATAAACTTACTAAAAATAACTTTCTCCAATTAAAACTCACGAGAGAGAGAGAGAGAGAGAGAGAGAGGGACCCATCTTTCAGCAAATATTAAATCAAAAGTGAATCCTGCGACAGACGACTCGGAAAAAAATAAAACAAATGAGAATCGGATTATCGCCTCCAAGGGATTCAGATCTCATCAGCATCGCCTTTAAGAAGAGGTTCAAGGGGGGAAGGGGGGGGGGGGATTGGATCGCTTTGTCTGGGTTAAGTGAAGTAAAAATCCTTTATTATAATCTTATGTCTTTCTTGTACGGAATTCCTTACACCAGACAGACAGACAGAGAGACAGAGAGACAGACAGACAGAGAGACAGACAGACCAAAACAGACAGAAAAGTATAAATAAGTCAACTGTACTTTTACTCTGTGTCAAGTCTTACAAATTAGCGATGGAAACTTTTCTTTTCAAAGTACAGAAGTTTGAGAGAGAGAAAAAATACTTTAACTTTTTCTAGACAAACTTTCTCTTCTTATGTAAAGTATGGAGTCAGGGCAGGATATATGTACCATCTTAACTGTACCTGTATTTTTACCTGTAATTACCTGTACCTGTACCCGTATCTACCTGTAATATTATTTGTAACTCCATCTACCTGTGCCAGTAACCACCTGTATCTACCTGCAAATAATCACCATTAAGACACCACTAAGAGAGCAGATATTAAACATCCAACGACCTAATCACCTCATTATCAAAGGATCAAGCTTGATTACCTTAATTTACACGATTTAACTCATATGACGTAACAAATAAAATCATCCAACGCCATTTTTATTTATACAATATTTACATCTGACCTGTAAATCATTAACAGTTTTTTTTTACATTTTGGTGATTAATTTACGGAAAGTTTTAACTATTGGTGCAAACAAAAACAAACATTATTTTTCTGTTTACTCGTTCAATTTTTTTTTGTGTTTTTATTGGATGATACGATTTTGTTTTAATTTGATTGTTATATGAAGGTAGTTTAACGCTATCTGTCTGTCTGTGTGTCTGTATATCTGTCTATCTGTCCATCTTTCTATGCATTAGGATCTACAGATAGATAGATAAATAGACAGACAGACAGTTACGTGAGTGTGGTAGAGGGTAGGTGGGTGTGTGAGGTAGTGAAACGTGGGTAGCAAACACCGGAGACTTTATTGTCCTACCAGTCACCGCTGTAGTAGTCACACGTATTCACTTAACTCTCCCTCAGTTATATATACATTGTCCGTCAAATCAGTCTGTCAGGTATTAAAGATAAGCAGGTATTGAGCTGCTGACGCAATTAATAATATATTTAATTTTTTTTTTAGTCTCATTTTGTTAGAATTAAAATAGTGTTTTTGTTATTATTACATTCAATAGTTTAGTGGGTATTTTATTGAACTTATCTGTCTGTCTGTCTGTCTGTCTCTCTCTCTCTCTCTCTGTCTCTCTCTCTCTCTCTCTCCCTCTCTCTCTCTCGTCAACAGTTAAAAGACTAGCATTTACAGAGAGAGAGAGACAAAGATAAAGATATAAAGAGAGATACCTTTAGAGACAGTTTTCAGAGATAGTTTTTAGAGATACTTATTGGAGATAGTTTTAGATAGATAGATATATAGATAGATAGGTAGATACGTAGATACATACATACATACATACATACATACATACATACATACATACATACATACATACATACATACATACATACATACATACATACATACATACACACATACACACATACATACATACACACATACATACATACATACATGACGTCATTACTCACCAGTTTCCTTACGCCAGGCGACGGTAGGGTTGGGGAAGCCTTTCGCCAGGCAATGGAGCGCCACACTGCCCCCCAGAGCCACACTGGCACTGGCTGGCTCTACTACCCAAGCTGGAGGCACTGTAGGGAGGGTCAGCAGAAGGTCAGAGGTCATATGGTGGTACATAAGGTTAAACTGTATGGTATAGTCATATGAGGAACTATATTATAAAATGTATATATTATTTTGAAAGCAATTTTTTATTTTTTATCCATTAATCTATAAATATCTATGAATACCATATTTTTTTGGATTAAATTTTAAGTCATTAACTGGATAAAAATTATAAATACCACAATTAATTTTTATGGGGAGAAAATATTTTAATTCATTAATTGGCAAAAAATAAATGTAAAAAGTTGAGTAATTGAGTTTTGAGAGATAAAATTTAGTGTTTACTCCTAACAAGTTAATCATTTGTAAACAAGTGACACAGGTGAGGTGGCTGTGTACAGGTGAGGGAATATTGTGTCAAAAGGGAAAGTGGCAGAGAAGACACCGTGTCACACATAACCCACATTAGTGTCATGGGGTGTCATACTAGTGTCATGGGTATCATATAAGGTCTAGTTATTGTCATGGGTGTCATACTAGTGTAGTAGGTGTCATACATAGTCCAGTTAGTGTCATGGGGTGTCATACTAGTGTCATGGGTATCATATAAGGTCTAGTTATTGTCATGGGTGTCATACTAGTGTAGTAGGTGTCATACATAGTCCAGTTAGTGTCATGGGGTGTCATATACACAAATACATGTCATGCAGGACCGATATTAAGCCACACAACGTTTACTTAGTGTCATTAGGTGTCATAAAAGAGCTATTTAATGTAAACATGTGTCATACAGCTTTGTTTAGTGTCAAAGCTTAAAGCTGTCTATAATGTTTCTTTGTCTGTCTATCTGTCTGTTTGTCTATCTATCTATCTGTCTGTCTGTATATCTGATTGTTTGTCTATCTATCTATCTGTCTATCCATCTATCTGTCTGTCTGGATGGATGGATTGATGGTGTATCCCCCTCAGACGCAGGTTATATTAAAGACACATCGATTCCTTTTATCTGTCTGTCTATGTATCTGTCTGTCTGTCTATGTATCTGTCTGTCTGTCTGTCTGTCTGTCTCAATCTTCCTTTGCACCTTCCTTTGTCATCCTAAGCCAGGGAAAATAACACCTACAGTTGATGAACGATGCAACACAACACGACACGTCAACTTAAGTCTATATTTACAACCTATTATTAAGTCTGTTAATATACCCAACATATCCTGGTGTATATTATGATATGTTGGGGATATACTTACGTTTGTTAGTTACATTTAGGGGAGTTATGATGTCTAGGGAATTTTTTTTTGGTTGTAGATTATTTTCCCTGGCTACAGTTTGTCTAGGGAATGTTGGGAAGTAAACATTAACAGTGTCTAGTGAAGGGGGTGAGGGGGGGTAGGGGTACATAGTCAAAGTGGGGGGGAGAGGGGGGTTAATTAGGGAGACAGGTGAGGGAAGAGGGATTAAACCAGGTAACCCAACGAATAAATAAATGGACAAATTTTCTATGAAATTTGTGATTTTTATTGAATTTTTATAATGTATTTGAAGATAATTGGTTAGGTTAGGTCAGGTCAGTCTCTCTAGCCATCCGTCCACCATGTTCTAGTCGAGGTCATGTGAGGTGAGATGTTACCTGTAAGGTCATAACTCACCTGTACTCTGGATCGAGGTCATTCTAAAAGGGTCTATTGTTAATAACTACATAAGTCCAAAGGCTCTTGTGAACTGTCTCTCTCTCTCTCACTTTCTCTCTCTCTTTCTCTCACTTAACTCTATATTCTAATACCCTTTCCTCTCTCTGTTTCTCTCACTTAATTTTCTTCCCTCTCTCTCTTTCTCTCACTTAACTCAATACTCAAATACCTTTCCCTCTCTCTCTTTCTCTCACTTAATTTTCTTTCCTCTCTCTCTTTCTCTCACATAACTCTATACTTTAATACCCTACTCTCTCTCTCTTTCTCTTTCTCTTAATACTCTTCCCTTTCTCTCTCTCTCTCTCTCTCTCTCTCTCTCTCTCAATCTCACCTAACTCTATTGCCCTCTAGTGTACTATATGTGTGCGTGAGACCCTGGGCGCCCTACCACTGACGGTCAGGGTGGAGGTGGTGGTAGCAGTACGGGCTGGGTTAGAGGCATCGCAGGAGTAGTTGCCGGAGTGGGCTGCTGTGGCTCGGTCGATCACCAGGATGGATGTGAAGGGGTCGAGTTGGGAAGTACGAACGTCGAGTCTAGGGTCGAGTGGACGTCCATCTTTCTTCCAGGCGAGGGTAAGTGGTTGGTCACCCTCTTGTACCAGACATGTTGCTTGTGCTCTCATGCCTGCTCTTGTCTTCTCCGGGAACGTTAGACGAGCCAGACGGGGAGGTACTGTAACACACACACACACACACTCACACACACAACACCAAATGTTAGGTCAAATGTGTGTGGATTATTGATAAACCAGAACCAAGAAGGATAGTTGTTTAAGGTTAAGTCAGGTCAGGGGGTCATAGGTGGCTCTGTTTGTGTGTGTGTGTGTGTGTGTAAAAAAACCTTTCTAGTACACGCACACACAGACACACACACAGCCACCTATGACCCCCAACACGATCCATAAAGAAAGACTTTAAGAGGTACAGGTAAACACAAGAGAAACAAACATCAGGAGGTAGTGAGTGACCTAGCTGGAGGTCACACGAGGTCACACGAGGTCATACGAGGTCACCCACATATACTGGACATAAAATAGGGAAGGGGGGGGGGAAGAGGTCACGACTAAATAGGGAAAAATAAATAATAGAGGAGAGAAAAGGGCGATTCATAGCGCCAAATGAAAGAACAGACGCGGTAAGTATCCTATCATGTAAACAAAGTCACACTGTTTATATTCTGGAAAAAAGTAGAGAGAAGAAGCGTATATATATATATCTGTAGACTTGTTGAAGTAATACAAGTTTTAATGATAAGATAAACGCCCTCTGTGAAACCTCTCTTCGTGGTGGTGTATGGGGGAAGGAGGGGGAGGAGATATCAGTCGCTGTGGGCATGGGATGGGCGTATGGGCGTGCGTACCATTAACAGCTAAAGAGGCAGAATGTGTCGCTTGAGCCCAGTGATTAGAAGCTCGACAGGTATATTCCCCAGTATGGAGAGCCGTAAGACTGGAGACCATAAGAGCACTGGAGAAATGATTCATACTGGAGATCGACACGCCCTCGACCTCCTGCATGGGCCGCCCGTCCTTCTCCCACGTAAAGGTGATGGGCGGGTCTCCCTTCGTCACCAGGCAGGTTACCCCGGCGCGGTCACCTGCCTGTAACCTCTCCTCAAAGTGGAATGGCTGAAGAACTGGTGCCACTGTAATATAGCTGTGTGTAAGGTGGCCGGCCCTCCTGTACCTGCTGTTGGCCTGTACCTGTAACCTGTCTACCTGTTGGCCTGTACCTGTACCTGTCTACCTGTTGGCCTGTACCTGTGTACTTGTTGGCCTGTACCTGTCTACCTGTTGGCCTGTACCTGTCTATCTGTTGGTCTGTACCTGTCTACCTGTTGGCCTGTACCTGTCTACCTGTTGGCCTGTACCTGTCTATCTGTTGGTCTGTACCTGTCTACCTGTTGGCCTGTACCTGTCTTGCCCTGCTGGCCCCAGTATCAGAACTCCATTCACCCTGTTGGGTCAAACCCAGTACTTGTTACCTGCTGTAACTGCTCCTCCGGCCTGTACCTGTCTACCTGTTACGGCCTGTACCTGTGCAATTCTGTTGGCCTGTACCCGTGTTCTGTTGGGCCTGTAACCGTTCACTCCGTACCCATGTCTCACCTGTTGGCCTGTACCTGTGTAAATTTGCTGGCCTGTAACTGTCTACCTGTTGGGTCTGTACCGTCTACCTGTTGGCCTGTAACCGTTCACCTGCTGGCCTGTACCCCTGTTCTCACCTTGCTTGGTCTGTACCCATGTCTACCTGTTTGGCCTGCACCAGGCAATTGTCATCTGTAATTTATCTACCTGCTGGTCTGTACCTAAAAATTGGCCTGTACCTTGTGTACCTGTTGGCCTGTAACTGTCTACCTGTACCTGCCTACCTGTTGGCCTGTACCTGTTCAATTTTGTTGGCCTTGCACTCTATCTTTACCAGTTGGTCTGTACCTGTTTACCTGTTGGGCTCTGTACCTGTCTACCTGTTGGCCTGCACCACTTCATTCACCAGCTGGTCTGTACCTGTTTACCTGTTGGCCTGTTCTGTCTACCTGTTGGCCTGTACTCTATCTCCTACCAGCGCTATTTGCACTCTGTTTACCTTGCTTGGCTCCTGTACCTGTCTACTCATGGCCTGTACTCAAAATTTGCTTGGCTCTGCAGTTCTAGGTGTACCTGTTGGCCTGTAACTGCTCAATTGCACTGTTTACCTGTTGGCCTGCAATTCGTTCACCTGTTGGCCCGTACTCATTCAACAGTTGGTCTGTACCTGTTTCACTCCGTTGGCCTGTACCTGTCTACCTGTTGGTCTGTACCTATCTGCTACCCGTTGGCCTCAGCCCATCTACCTGCTGGCCTGTACCTGTCTACCTGTTGGTCTGTACCTGTCTACCTGTTGGTCTGTACCTGTAATTGTACCTGTCTACCTGTTGGTCTGTACCTGTCTACCTGTTGGTCTGTACCTGTAATTGTACCTGTCTACCTGTTGGTCTGTACCTGTAATTGTACCTGTCTACCTGTTGGCCTGTACCTGTATCTATCTACCTGTAGTCCTGTACCGTGTACCGACCTGTACCTGAGATTAAGTAAATCAGATTACAGGTACTAATCCATCTCTGAGTTAATCTACCTAGGAGTACAAGGGATTTAAACACCTTAGCTTCACCAGGTAATTACAGGTGATTTCTAGCTGTAATTACCTAACACTATAATCACCTAACACTATAATCACCTAACACTATAATCACCTAACACTATAATCACCTAACACTGTAATCACCTAACACTATAATCACCTAACACTATAATCACCTAACACCATAATCACCTAACACTATAATCACCTAACACTATAATCACCTAACACTGTAATCACCTAACACTATAATCACCTAACACTATAATCACCTAACACTGTAATCACCTAACACTATAATCAGCTAACACTATAATCACCTAACACTATAATCACCTAACACTATAATCAGCTAACACTATAATCACCTAACACTGTAATCACCTAACACTATAATCACCTAACACTATAATCACCTAACACTATAATCACCTAACACTATAATCACCTAACACTATAATCACCTAACACTATAATCAGCTAACACTATAATCACCTAACACTGTAATCACCTAACACTATAATCACCTAACACTATAATCACCTAACACTGTAATCACCTAACACTATAATCACCTAACACTATAATCACCTAACACTATAATCAGCTAACACTATAATCACCTAACACTGTAATCACCTAACACTATAATCACCTAACACTATAATCACCTAACACTATAATCAGCTAACACTATAATCACCTAACACTGTAATCACCTAACACTATAATCACCTAACACTGTAATCACCTAACACTATAATCACCTAACACTATAATCACCTAACACTATAATCACCTAACACTATAATCACCTAACACTATAATCACCTAACACTATAATCACCTAACACTATAATCAGCTAACACTATAATCACCTAACACTATAATCACCTAACACTGTAATCACCTAACACTATAATCACCTAACACTATAATCACCTAACACTGTAATCACCTAACACTGTAACTAATGTACCTATCACTGTAATTAGTCCCCTTTAATATAAACTGTAATAAAACACTAAGATTATCTATATAAATTCTACTTAATTTTATAGTGTGTTAAGACGGTGTAAGATATTGGTTAGTAGAATTAGTCATTAATATCAATAATAATAACAATACGGTACTACTACTACTACTACTACTACTACTACTACTACTACTACTACTACTACTTTTTTTTTTAAACGTGGCCTCCAGCCTCCCCCAATAGCCACACCTTCGCCACCATTTATTTACCTTAATATTAACTATCCTAATACATAAGCAACTATCCTATCTGTGTTAAATTAGTTGAGCCGCAGATCGATGCGGCATTCGGTGACTGTAGCCTCATAGTCGATATCTGCAGCAGTTGACGGAGTAGGGGCAGAAGCTCTCGTTCCCCTGAGGCAGAGCAAAGCCGACCGAAGGAGAGAGAAGGACAGTCGACATCTCATCCAGGCTGTGACATAACTTCTGGGCTGCTGCTTCTGTTCGGAGATCAGCTCCGCGAGTCTGGCGTAGAAACATCTTGCGCTTGGGCCCATCCCACCAGAGGTTGTGAACACTAGCGGAGTGAAGCTGCCTTGATCGACATTTTGAATTCTCTCCCCATATGCCCTTCTCTTGTCGTTCTCGTTCCTCCTATGTGCAGCATCGAGAGCTAGGTTACGGTGACAAACGGCCATGGGATCAAAAATCCTGATGTCGAAGAAGGCTCGCTGTCCCCGCGTCCAGAATCCTCGAGCACTGACGTCCACACGGGCTTCGTTAGATGTGTTTGAAGTCCTGTGTTGGAGGATCTCGCCATCCAGTGGAAGGAGGGTCGGTTCTACCATGACGTCCCGGCAGGTTTCCTTCAACATATTTGCTGTGAGATCCCTTACCTCGTCATGCCTCATGCATATGAAGCCCCCCTTCTTGCAAACCATGGCGTGATCGCCATCATAGGAATAGCCACACACGCATTGGGAGGGCAAACCATCTACTGGCCAACCGTACCTTAGAGCAATGGCATCTGTAAATTCTTGTTTGTTAAGGCTGAAACCATTTGCCCTTATCGGTAACGTAGTTAACCAGTTCGAGGCGCCCACCTCCTGCGCTATAGCTACTTTTTTTGTCAAATTTTCTGGAACCTGCAGCAATAGTTGCTGCAACATGTCATTTTGGCAGTGCTGCCGATCTGTTGTAATGGATCTACGGATCTTATTAACTTCGCTGGTGTCCACTTCCCCTGTTGCATTCTGGGCTATTATGTGGTCAGTGAGGGCTGCCGTGAGCTTAAGTGAATTTTGATGTTCAGAGTCAGCAATCTCCTCTGGATTAGTTAGTCCCATCCCTCCCAGTCTTGGTGGAAGTGCAAGAAGTGTTCTTTCTACTGGGGTTAAGTCGTGGTGTTTCACTAGTTTGGGAATGAACTTGACACTGATTGCTTCTTCCAAAGGGTGGAGGAGGGGTCGGATCTCAGGGATGGTACGCATCAGGTAGTTCCAACGATGCTTGACTCCATGTGTGAATGCTGCAAAGGCCGCATGTGGCTCTGTGTTAGCAATCTCCGATAGAGCATGGATTTCGCTAACCCACTCGTTCACCTTTCCCCCTACGTACTGGGTCTTGAAGTCCGTAGTGCCAATTACTGCGCCTAGATGTCTTTGGCCGTCCTTAGTTATTTTGACCTCACTTTCGCCGAAAACCTCCACAGCCCGATCATAATGATCTGGCTTCACGATGAGGAAGGATTTGCTGGCGTTTGGGTGGTACCCTATTTGTGGACCTCGCGATGTTACCAGGTCCCACCACTTTTTGATGTCCTCCACTTTTCCTGCTCCTGTGAGGTCATCAGCATATGCCACTTGTTTGACCCCAGTTGTTTCATACTTTATTTCTACAGGACGCCAAACTATCCACTTATTTACGCTCACCGCTACTTTCTCAATGAATAGCCCACCCAAACACCTCGGAACCCACTAAACCCACCTCGGAACCCACTAAACCCACCTCGGAACTCACTAAACCAACTCCAAAACCCACCAAGCACACCAGAACCCAACAAACCCATCCGAGAACCCACCCAGAACCCACTAAACCCACCAGAACCCACTAAACCCACCTCGAACCCACTAAACCCACCTCGAACCCACTAAACCAACTCCAAAACCCACCAAGCACACCAGAACCCAACAAACCCATCCGAGAACCCACCCCAGAACCCAGTAAACCCACCAGAACCCACTAAACCCACCTCGGAACCCACTAAACCCACCTCGGAACCCACTAAACCAACTCCAAAACCCACCAAGCACACCAGAACCCAACAAACCCATCCGAGAACCCACCTCAGAACCCACTAAACCCACTAGAACCCACTAAACCCACCAGAACCCACTAAACCCACCCCAGAACTCACCCAACCCACCCCCAGAAACCAGCATTGAAAAAACATACCCATAACACGAACTGTGAGATCTTGAGTGTCTGAGAGGCCCTGTCTGGTGGAGGCGGTGCAGGAGTAGTGGCCGTCGTCAGTACTTCGAGTGACTTGTTCAACCACTAAGGTACCGTTCGTGTGGACCCGCTGACGATGGCTGGTGGGCAGGCGGAGACCATCTGTAGGAGGAGGAGGAGGAGGAGGAGGAGGTGGTAGGTTAGGTTGGTGATGTAGGGTGTTGTTGTGTACATAAACATACATACATACCTCCCACGTACACATACATAAACACCTCCCACGTACACATACATAAACACCTCCCACTTACACACCCTCCCTCACACACACACATAAACACCCTCCCCCACAAACACACACATACAAACACCTCCCCTAAACCTGTACCCCCTCACACATACAAACCCCCCCGACACACACACACACCCCCCCGACACAAACACCCCCCGACACACAAGCACCCCCCACGAACTGAGCCTTTAGACACAGACGCCCAGACACTGAAACCTTTAGACACTGAGCCTTGCGACGCACTGAGCGCTTCGTTGCCTGAACGCTTTGAACACTTTTGAACCCTTTTGGACGCACAGAGCCTTTTAGACACTGAACGCCCCCAGACACTGAGCCTTTTCCCCCAGACACTGGGCGCTTAGACGCTGGAACGCCCCCAGACGCACAGAGCCTTTTAGACACTGACCTTTAGACGCACAGAGCCTTTAGACACTGGAGCACTTCCAGAACGCTGGAGCCGCCCCAGACACTGGACACTTTAGACGCACCAGACGCCCCCAGACGCTGGGCCTTTTTGGACACTGGAACCTTTGGACACTGAGACGCTTTAGACCTTTGGGCCTTTGGACACTGGGCCTTTGGACCCGCATGGAGCCTTTGGACACTGGGGCCTTTGGACGCACCAGACGCTTTGGACGCACAAGGGCCTTTGGACGCACAGACCCTTTAGAACCTTTGAAACGCCCCAGAACGCACAAACCTTTTGGGCACTGAATGCCCCGACACACAAACGCCCCCGACGCACCAAACACTTAGACGCACAAACCTTTAGACGCACACAAACGCCCCCAGAGCACTGGGAAGGCACCCCCAGACGCACAGAGCACCCCCGTTTCAAACACCCCCCCCGACACACAAACGCCCCCAAACACACTGCGACACCCCCCACACAAACACCCCCCCGACTTGCACAAACACCCCCCCCGACACACAAACACCCCCCGACACACAAACACCCCCCGACACACAAACACCCCCCGACACACAAACACCCCCCCGACACACAAACACAAACACTTAAAAGCACCATAAAAAAACCTTACATTAATATCACTGAAACCAAACAATAGAATCTTTATTTCTGTTCCTTTTTGGTGTTTGTGTTTGTGTGTGTTTGTGTTTGTTTGTGTTTGTGTTTGTGTTTGTGTTTCAGATATTGTAAAATCCACATTGTTCCTGTAATCTTTTTATTAAACCTACAGATCGCCTCTCATAAATCCCCTGGGTGAGAAGTAATCCCCTTGAGCTAACAGGAGGATTAGTTATATATTAAAGAAAGAGTTTGTTGATAATCCAGGGGCTATCATACACAATGGATTACTGGATTATGTTATTTTTATTCTCCCTATCTCTCTGTATTCTCCCTGATATAGTAATTCTCCCTGATATAGTAATTCTCCCTGTTTTTTTTTAATTTCTCTCCCTTCATTTCTTTCACCCTGTCTCCCTGTTATGGTATTCTCCCTACTTCTATCACTTTCTCTCCCTGTTATGATAATCTCCCTACTTCTCTCGCCCTTTACCTCCCTTATAAGGTCCCACACTCACTTGTCTTCCGGGTTCTGCTACGAACAACTCACCTTTCAGCCAGGTTATGTTATGGATGGGGTAGCCAGACACGGGGCAGCTCACCACGAACGTCTCTCCCGCCACGGCCGACACCTGGCCCATAGCACGGACATGGGGCGGTCCGTAGACATTAAGGCGAGCCATGTGAGTGACACGGCCCGCGCTGTTCTCTGCTGTGCACGTGTACGATCCTCCGTCCGTTACGTGCACCGTACTGATGTTAACGTGGCTGATAACTAACCCGTGCGCTGATACGTACTGTCCTTTCACGTACCTGTAAGATGGTGTTTACATTAGTGACGTCATTATAGGGGGGGCGTAACCTGAGTGACGTCATTATAGGGGGTAACCTGAGTGACGTCATCATTGGTAGTGTAACCTGAGTGACGTCATCATTGGTGGGTGTAACCTGAGTGACGTCATCATGGGTGGGCGTAACTTGTGTGACGTTGACTCAGTTTAAGCCAATGATAGATGGTGTTTACTATGACGTAATTTTTTATATACCTGTGATATATGACGGATTATGACGTCATATAGTGCTTCAGGATTATCTCTCTCTCTCTCTCTCTCTCTCTCTCTCTCTCTCTCTCTCTCTCTCTCTCTCTCTCTCTCTCTCTCTCTCCTCCTTCCATTCTTCCCTCCATTAACCATATAAAACAAAATCACTAAAACATTAAAATTTATTAAGAATTAAATTACCAAAAAATAACATTAATAATTACATAACAATAACATAAATATATGAATTATTACAACAAAACTCATCCATTGTTGTGATTCACGTTAGTTGCATGTCTAAGGGGAGAGGGGAGGAGAATGAGGAGGAGGGAGGACTTGGTCACGTGACTGGAGATCGTAAGCAAACCTCCACCAATCATCTCAGCACCGCTAACCCGCCATTAACATGCCAACCCGCCTCAGCTGTACGGGTGTAAATAGTAGTGTGCGCGCCTTTCTTAATTCCTCAGTAACATCAACGAGAGAGAGAGAGAGAGATTATGAAGATATATGTTTACATAATTTTTTTACTCTATAAATAAATACAGATATTAAAATACCTTAAAGAAATATCTGTCAACATTATTAAATTCCTGAGATTTTCGCTGTGTGTGTGTGTGTGTGTGTGTGTGTGTGTGTGTGTGTACTCTATCTATCTATCCATCTATCTATCTATGTGTCTGTCTGTCTGTCTGTACCATTTCTGCGTCTACCTGAAGCACAACAATAATTACGCACCTGTGAACCCAGAAGAGGGGGTGGAGGACTTCATTGAGCAGGTAAGAGACACAGGGAGGAGGGTATATGGAGGGAGGTGGGGGGAGGGAGGGAAGGAGGACGTGGCCGGCTTACCTGTTCACCTGTATCATTTGTAACCCTCCGGGGACAGGTAAGTGGGAAGGTAGGTGGGACTTATGGAGGAAGGAGGGAGGTGAGGGAGGGGTGGGGAAGGTGGGGGAGGGTGAGGGAGGGTGAGGGAGGATGAAGGAAGGTGAGGGAAGGTGGAGGGAGGTGAGGAAGGTGGGGAGAGTGAGGGAAGGTGAGGAGGGTTGGGAAGGTGAGAGTGAGGAGGTGAGGAGGTGAGGAGGGTGAGGAAGGTGGAGGAGGTTTGGGGTAGGTGAGGGAGGGTGAGGGAGGTGAGGGTGAGGGAGAGAGTGGGGAGGGTGAGGGAAGGAGGGAGGAAGGAAGGTGAATGGAAATGAGTAGGGGGATGGGAAGTAAGGGAAAGGAGGGGTGGGAAGGAGAGAGAGGCATAGGAGCATAAATAACAATGATGGGAGAGGTGGTGGTAATGGTGGTAGAGGTCGTAGTAGTAGCAGTGGTCGTGGTGGTGGTAGTGGCGAGTCGTAGTAGTAGCAGTGGTCGTGGTGGTGGTAGTGGCAGATGTCGTAGTAGTAGCAGTGGTCGTGGTGGTGGTGGTAGTGAGAGGAAAGTTAATTAAGTATACGGTGTGTGTGTGTGTGAGAGGGTGGTAAGCGCCATCTGTCTTTCGGATAGTTCCCTAATTGTGTTTTTCCACAGTGACGAGCAGCCCATGTCACTACGAACTCTGAGAGATTTTCCCTTCTTGACTTACAGAGATGTGAGGTTCTCTTGATTGACTTATTGACTGATTGACTTATATTGATTGACTTGCTGATTGACAGGACTTTAATACAGTTTTCCATCACCCATAACCACCCTTTCCATCATCCCCCTCCCCCTGACACTCCCTTTGAGCCCCTAACTCTTTCTCCCCTCCTCACTTCCCCAACACTCCTCACCCCTCCTCACTTCCCCAACACCCCTCACCCCCTCCTTCACCACCCCTCACCTCCCCATCACCCTACTCCCCACCAACACCATCTCACCATCTTTATTACATTAGGTCTGTGTCTGGTGCTCAGCCGGCCCTTATCATCCCCTCTGACGTCATTTTGTTTACGTTATTCATTTGTTTTCTTGGTGTTTATACTTTACTCAACGTTATTCATTTGTTTGAGTGTTTAAACTTTATGTTATTCATTTGTTTTTTTCTTGTTTATCTTTAATTTTTATTTTTACGTGAAGCTGCTTTGTTTTTGGTCATTTGATGTTCATTTGTTTTAATGTGTTTATGTTTTTATATCGTCTATATTTCGATGTTCTTTTGTTTTTGCTATTGTTTTGTCTATTGTGTGAATTTCCTTTTGATTTCTCATTTTTCTGCTTGTATATCTCTAATCCTCTGTCTCTCTCTCGCGCGCACACACACACACCACCCTTGAACTTTACACAGGAGATATATTAAATCCACCTGTTGCTTCGCTATTTAAAATATTTATCGTGTGGAATATTTCTTAATATAGCCACCACCACCGACACTTCACTGCCAACGATGAAAATATAGACAACATAAACGGTAATATAGCTCCTACACTGTAATATAGCAAGGGGCAATAGCCAGAGGTGTTATTATAGCCACAGGCAGCGTAATATAGGTCCTGTACCGTAATATAGCCAGAATGTATAGCAGGAGATAAAAATATAGCAGCTGAGAGGGATATATGACCCCTGGGTGGTATTATAGACGGATACATGACACTATAGCAACGCAAAATAGCCCTTTAGACGGGAACCTACTGAGGAGTCGGCTATATTGCGCGATTATCGGCTATACTGGGCGATTATCGGCTATATTGCTCCATTATCGGTTATATTGCCCCATTATCGGCTATATTGCTCCATTATCGGCTATATTGCTCCTTTATCGGCTATATAACACTATTAACAGCACCATAACAACGTCAACACAACACCAACACAACACCATATCCGAGCGGCAATAATATCCTTAGGGTGTAGAATGTAAACAGAGGCGAGTTCGGATATATAGAGGTCATCAGGGAGCTTAAGTAGGACGGACCAATCACAACTCAGGAAGGCTACGACGGACCAATCACAACTCAGGAAGGTTGGTGACGGTAATGGTGGTTGGTTCTCGCACCGGCTAGCTGACTGATGCTCGATAATAACAGTTTCGCGTCTGAGTTTGAGTCGAGTCTTGGGATTTTTAGCATTTTCTCTCACTTTCTCTCTGTTTCTCTCTCTGTCGCTCTCTCTCTCTCTCTCTTTTATATCGGGGATAATGTGAGGTGTTTTATGGGGATTTTGGCGTGAGGAAGATGTGGTGTGGTGAGGATTTGGACCGTGTTTAGAAAGGGGATTTTGGCGGTGAGGTAGAGGGATTTTGCCGTGAGAAAAATGTGTGGTGAAGGGATTATTTTGGCGATATTTTGTGATTATTTAACGATATTTTGAATGATTTTTGGCGACAGTAAAGTGATTTCGATGTGAGGAAGAATGTGATGGGTGATTTGGCGATGTCTACAGGATTTTGAGGATGAATAAAGGGATTTTAGCGATTTTGTGGAGATTTTAACGATATTATAAACGATTTTGGCGATTTTGTGGTGATTTTAACAATATTATAAACGATTTTGGCGATTTTGTGGCGATTTTAACAATATTATAAACGATTTTGGCGATTTTGTGGCGATTTTAACAATATTATAAACGATTTTGGCGATTTTGTGGCGATTTTAACGATATTATAAACGATTTTGGCGATTTTGTGGCGATTTTAACAATATTTTAAACGATTTTGGCGATTTTGTGGCGATTTTAACGATATTATAAACCATTTTGGCGATGATTAAAGAAAAATAGATCACTAATTAGAAGTATATATATATAGATAATAATTTGGTAACCAGACTATTAATTAAGCTATCTGTTGTTTATAGTCAGGTGTGTGAGGTAGTGACGTATATAAGCCCCTCAGCCAATCAGTAACCAGAGAGAGAGAGAGAGGGGGGGGGGAGAGATAGATAGATAGATAGATCGACTAAAGAGAAAGAAAATACAAGCAGCTTAGATTTATTTATCGTACGTCTGACAGGGATGACATATCGGATGGTGGCGCCAGGAACAGTTGTCGTACAGCAGTTCAGTGTAAACAAAATTATAAACAAAATAGTAAACAAACAATAGCAGAGTGTTTTCTTTATATACTTTTGTTTGGGAGGAAAATAAACAAAAATAATAAACAATAAAATGCCTTAGAGACGCCATATTTGTTTTATGAATAACATCAAATGAAGTGTTAAAAAAAATCGTTGAATATGATAAAAAAAACACAAACAAATACAAACATACACAAACAAACACATATAAACACAAACATACATAAACAAACACAAAAAAAAACACTTGCGATAACAGGGAAAATATAAAACAGACACGATATTCATAACGAAACAACACACACACACACACACACACACACACACACACACACACACACACACACACACACACACATACACACACACACACACATACACACACACACACACACACACACACACACACACACACACACACACACACACACTCTCTCTCCCCCGAGGTTAAGAGATTCTCACTTCAATCACCAGATGGCATTAGCGTTAAAACTCTCCTCTGAGCGTCTGTCATAAGCTTATCTGGTAAATCGGGGATAAATCGGGGTGAATTGGGGGTAAATCGGGGGTAATTCGTGATGAAATTGGGTAAATTGGCGATAAATTGGGTTGAATCGGGGTGAATAGGGGGTAAATCATAGTGAATCGGGGTGAATCGTAGTAAATCGTGGTAAATCGTGGTAAATCTGGATAAACACCGGGTAAATCGTGGTTGAATCAGGTACTCGTTTTACCGATACTTATCCGATAATCACTACACTCAATATAACTCTTCCAGACTTTGATCTTCGCGCAAAAAATTAATGAGATGTTGAACAGATTGGAGACCCGAGTTGAATATGTGTTTTAATGTATACTCGTTTTACACATATGTATACGTGTTTTACATACACATATACAGATTTTCTATATACTTGTGTGTATACATATACATATTGATATACAGGTGAGGTTTATATTCGATTTACATATATATATATATATATATATATATATATATATATATATATATATATATATATATATATATATTTGTACTGATGTAGATAATATATGTATGTATGTATGTATGAATATATGTATGTATGTATGTAGTGTTTTACTGTATACTATGGGGGGAGATTTGACAGGTGTTAAGGTGATTTAATTAAGGAAGGATTTACCTGTTGGGTGATGTTGTGAACAGGTGTTAGGCACACACACACACACAGACACACAGACACACACACACACACACACTAAAGCCTTCGACCTAGTCGACCACAATATAATCATAAACAAAGCTATTGACCTCGGGCTTCGGAGAAGTCTCATACCATGGCTTACAGACTTCCTCAGTGACCGACGCCAAGCTGTACGCTTCCGAGGGGCTGTCTCCACCTTTCAGTCACTCACCTGTGGCGTCCCCCAAGGCACCAAGATCGGGCCACTCTGCTTCCTTATGCTCATCAATGATTCCCTAAGAGAAACCCCTGCTCACTGGAAATATGTCGACGACTCCACCATTGGGATCAGCGTCAACAATTCTGCCCCCGACTATACCGCCCTTCAGGATTTATTAAACAGTCTTCAAAACTGGGCCACCAACAACCACGTCACCATCAACCATACTAAGACCATGGTTATGCACATCAACCTCTCCTCCGACATTGTCCCACCTCCTTCCATTACCCTAGGTCCGAACACACTCCAGGTTGTAGATTCCACGAAGCTCCTCGGCGTCACCATAGACAACAAACTAAATTGGAAACCACACGTCAGTGAAGTTGTCAAATCCTCCAGTTTCCGTCTCCACCTCCTCCGCCGACTCAAGCCCCTCGGAGTTCCCGCACACGAGCTCCTCAGTGTATACACAACATTCATACTTCCCAAGCTCACCTATGCCTCCCCCACCTGGTCTTCCTCTCTAAATGCCACACAACGTAAACACCTAGAAAAAGTGCAAAAGAGGGCATGCAAGATTATTCTCTCCCCTTCCTACACCACATATCAAGAAGCGCTCAACACACTGACCCTTTCGACTCTCACTGACCATCACCACGGCCTCATCTGCAAATTTGGTAAGAAGCTTCTACACCATCCCCGACACCGGCCCCTACTACCACCTGAGATCCCCTGTCCGAGAATTGCTGTTCGACACCACAACCGCATCCAGCCCATATGTGCACGAACTGATCGCTATAAGAACAGCCCAGTCCCAACCATTCTAAAAATTATCAATAACATGTAATAAATCAGTGTATTCACTCCCAGTAAACACTGCTCCCTACACTGTCACTATGTTGAAATGAACTGTAGTTTGAGCTGATCCCCATCTAAGCTACTATATGTCTTATTTGTGTCACTTATGTCACTTGTATATTATTTGTAATTCGTAACCCATTCCCCAAATATGTAACTGTATATTTTCAGCCTTCTGGCTGCCAAGCTTCCTTTCAATAAACCGTTAATTATTATTATTATTATTATTATTACACACACAGACACACAGACACACACACACACACACACACTACACCTATCATTGCATTAAAATAACCCAGATTACAATTTATTTTTTCACGAGTGTAGTAGTGTGTGTGTGTGTGTGTGTGTGTGTGTGTGTGTGTGTGTGTGTGTGTGTGTGTGTGTGTGTGTGTGTGTGTGTGTGTGTGTGTGTGTGTGTGTAAGTAAATGTAGATGATTCTAGCTGAGTGTAGATGAGAGTTATAGGGTGTAAATTGATGCAGTTGGGTGTAGACGGATGTAGACAGATACAACTGGGTGTAGACGGGTGTAGACAGATACAACTGGGTGTAGACGGGTGTAGACAGATCCCAACAGGTGTAGACGGGTGTAAACACATCCCAACAGGTATAAATAGATAAAGCTACACTCACCTATGCGAATGTGGAATAGGAAAGCCATCTAGTGCCCAGCTGATGTGAGGTGTAGGTGTACCTGTAGCGATACACTTAAGGCTGACAGCTGGTCCAGGTTGTAGAGTATGTTCTATGAAGCTGTATACCAGCTGGGGCGCGGCAGCTGGTGGGAGAGAAAGGGAAAAAGAAAGTTATTACGAGGAAGAAAGTTATGTAGATGGTGAAATGTGTCGGTGTAGGGTGTGTGGGGTGTGGGTGTGGGGTGTGGGGTGTGTCGGTGTGTGGGGCCAGGTGTGGGGTGTGTGGGTGTGGGGTGTGGGGTGTGTGGGGTGTGGGTGTGGGGTGTGGGTGTGGGTGTGGGGTGTGTGGGGTGTGGGTGTGGGGTGTGTGGGTGTGGGGTGTGTGGGGTGTGGGTGTGGGGTGTGTGGGTGTGGGGTTAATGGGGTGTGTGGGGTGTGGAGTTGGCTAGAGATTGTGTGGGTGTGGGGTGTGGGGTGTGTGGGGGTGTGGGTGTGGTGTGTGGGGTGTGGGGTGTGGGTGTGGGGTGTGTGGGTGTGGGGTGTGGGGTGTGTGGGTTGGTGTGGGGTGTGGGGTGTGGGTGTGTGGTTAATGGGGTGTGGGTGTGGTGTGGGGTGTGTGGGTGTGTGGGTGTGGGGTGTGTGGGGTGTGGGTGTGGGGTGTGTGTGGGTGTGTGGGTGTGGGTGTCGGTGTGTGGTGTGGGGTGGTGTGTGGGTGTGTGGGTGTGTGGGTGTGGGGTGTGTGGGGAATTATTAGATTAAGTGTGTGGTGTGGAGTGTGGGGTAGGTGTGGGGTGTGTGGTGTCATGGGTGTGGGGTGTGGGTGTGTGGGTGTGGTGTGTGTGTGGTGTGTGGGTGTTAGTTATTATTGGGGATAATGGTGGTGTGTGTGGGTGTGGGGTGTGTGGAGATGAGTAGTAAGTTATTGGAGTTAATGGGGTGTGTCGATTATTAATTTATTGGGGTTGTGTGGTGTCCATGGGTGTGTGGGGTGTGGGGTGGGTGTGGGTGTGGGGTGTGTGGGGTGGGTGGTGTGTGTGTGTGTGTGTGTGTGTGTGTGTGTGTGTGTTTGGGTTGTGAAGTGTTTTAAAAGTTTTTGTTCACAATGCTGAAAAACAACGACATTAATTGTCTTTGTTGAACATTAATTAAGAAAAGTAAAAAAATAATCAAGTATTTGTTTCATTGATAATAAAAACTAGAAAGTAATTAATTCTCATTGATTCTTTCGGTCAACAGATCAGTCTTATTCAGTCTTACAGTCCAAATATTAGTCTTCTTCAGTCTTACAGTCCAAATATCAGTCTTATTCAGTCTTACAGTTAAAAAATCATTCTTCTTCAGTCTTTCAGTTAAAAATCAGTCTTATTCAGTCTTACAGTCCAAATATCAGTCTCCCTAAGTCTTACAGTGCCCAAAACAGCCCCCTTCAATCTTAAACTCCAACCATCAGTCTTAATCAGTCTTTCAGCGTGACAAGAAGCCTGAAATAGCTGAGAGAGATGAAACAACTGGCAGCCAATTTTACATTAATCCCTTCCTGCTACACAAGAGGATTAGTCAGATGATAAAAGAGAATAATCCCCCTTCCTATCACAGTTGGCGATTTACCTGCCTTGATATATATGTAAAGTAATGGTGGGGGGATTTACAGAGGGGATTTTTTATTTATTTTGGGGTGGGGGGTTGGGAGTGAGGGAGTGAGGGCGTGAAGGTGAGAATTTGAAGGTGAGGGGTGAAGGTGAGGTGAGGAGGCGTGAAGAGGTGAGGTGAAGGTGGATTTCAAGGATTTTCAACGCCTTGTTTTCATATTTTTAACGCTTGGATGTTTGGATTTGGCTTCAATACCCAGTTCAGATTCAGGTTTCGACTCCAATACCGGGTACGGATTCAGAATTCGGCTTCAATACCGGGTTCGGATTCGGTGTTCGTCTTCAATACCGGGTTCAGATTCGGGGTTCAGCTTCAATACCGGGTTCGGATTCGGGGTTCGGGCTTCTACTCTGAAATTTAGGGGTTCGGGTCCGGAAATTAGGTTTGACTCCCCCCTAATTTCCTGGCTGGTGGTGCCTTTGTGATATATTAATTAAAGACCATCGCTGACAGCCTCCCTCACAGCGCACTATTGTTATTAAACTTTATGAAAATATCAATATGGCCGACGACACTGACATTTAATACTATCTGTCTGTCTGTCTGTCAGTGTGAGGGGGGGGAGGGGTGTGGGGGGGGTGGCTGTGTGAGGGTGGGATTTGTGTGTGTTGGGGGAGCTGTGTATGTGTGGGGGGAACTGTGTGTGTGTGTGTATGCGTAAATGTGGGCGTAGGTGTATACGTATATATAAGCATACTAACCTCCCAGGGTGACGTAGGCGTGGGCGTGGGCGTAGTCGTGGGCGTAGGTGGCGGCGCACTGGTAGATGCCGGCGTCGGAAGGGTCGACAGGTGCCACGTGTAGGGCCTCTCGTGGGCGTATCCTGACTCGGCTGCCTGACCTGAGGGGGGAGGCGGTTAATTAGTGGCTACAGGTGAGGCTAATTAGTAGGTTAATTAGGTGGTACAGGTGAGGTTAATTAAGGGGTAGAGGTGAGGTTAATAAGTAGCTTAATTAGGTGGTACAGGTAAGGCTAATTATGGGGTACAGGTGAACTTAATTAGTTGGTTAATTAATAGGTACAGATAAGGTTGATTAGAAGTTACAGGTAAGATTAATTACTAGATACAAGACAGGTGTGTGACTTACCTCAACACGTGACCATCCTTGTACCAGGTAACAGTGTCGACCGGTTCACCTGAGACGTGACACCTGAGCTCCAGCCTCCCCCCCGCGTCCACCTGTACCTCCCGGGGCGTCACCTGGAACACGTGTACACCTGTGTTAACACCTGTAATTATCCCCTGTCTCACCTGTGTCTTTGTAACACCTGTAATTAGCATCTATAACACTGATAACACCTGTAATTAACATAGATAGCACCTAAACACCTGTAATTCATATATATAACTCCTATAACATCTGTAATTAACATATATAGCACCTAAACACCTGTAATTCATATCTATAACTCCTATAACACCTGTAATTAACATATATAGCACCTAAACACCTGTAATTCATATCAATAACTCCAATAACATCTGTAATTCATATCTATGACTCCTATAACACCTGTAATTAACATATATAGCACCTAAACACCTGTAATTCATATCTATAACTCCAATAACATCTGTAATTCATATCTATAACTCCTATAACATCTGTAATTCATATCTATAACTCCTATAACACCTGTAATTAACACCTGTCTTACCTGTACAGAGAGAGGGAGCGTGACCAACAGGTGTGTAGAGACTCTGGCTACCCCGTCAGTGTTGTTGGCTACACAGGTGTACTGGGCAGCATCTGTTATACCCACTCTCCCCAATACTAGAGACCCACCTACTGTCCACACCCCGGTACTGCCCGTCACTGGTTCTGTCCCTCGGTACCACCTGGAGGGAAGTACAAGGGAGGTTAGTGTACATCTGGAGGGAAGTACTTCATATCTGAGGGTAGTACAGTATACCTAGAGGGAAGTACAGGGAGGTTAGTGTACATCTGGAGGGAAGTACTTCATATCTGAGGGTAGTACAGTATACCTAGAGGGAAGTACAGGGAGGTTAGTGTACATCTGGAGGGAAGTACTTCATATCTGAGGGTAGTACAGCATACCCAGAGGGAAGTAATAGGAGGCTAGTACATCTGAGGGAAGTACTTCATACCTAAGGAAGTAATTTTTACACTACAGTGGCTCCCAGGAGCACAGTACGTAATAGTGCACCTGTGGAGTGGGCTATTATAGGATAGAGCACTACACACCACGGGGCCGTCGATGACCTGGAGGGAGAGGGGAGATTGAGAGGGGAGAGAGAGGGGAAGGGAGAGGGGAGAGGGAGAGAAGAGGAAGAGGGGAGAGGGGAGAAGGAGAGGGGAGAGGGAGAGGGGAGAGGGGAGAGGGAAGAGGAAGAGGGAGAGGGGAGAGGGGAGAGGGAGAGGGGAGAGGGGAAGAGGAAAGTGAGGGGAGATCTGAGGGGAGAGGCTTAGGGGGAAGGAGGGGAGGGGAAAGTGATAGGGGAGAGAGAGGAGAGTGAGAGGGGAAGGAGAAAGTGAGAGAGAAGGAGAGAAAGAGAAAAGAAAGTATAGAGGAATATTGGATGTAAAAAAACGTCAAAAAGAGAAAGTGGAAAAAGAAACTTGGATAAAGAAAACACAAAGAGAAAAAGAAAGTGGAAAGAAAGTGATGAATACTGAATATAAAAGAAAATAAAGAAACACCAAATTCACCAAAATAGAAAGTCAAAAGTAAAGGGAAAAAAGAAAGTCAGATATAAGAAAGGTCACCAACATCTTGAAAGAAAGCCCAAAATAAAGAAAGTAAGCTTGAGAAACTAGACTCCCCCCAAAAAAAGAAAGCATGGAAAGTGAAACCCAAAAGTGAAAGTAGTGAGAGAAAGTTGGGTATTATGAGAGAAAGCACCATCAGGGCAGGCAAGGCGGGAGGGAAGCAGAACGACCACATTTACATAATCTGGTTTTTAAAATCAAATGACGCGCCACAGGACCGAAGCTGCGGGCCTCTGGTGGTGGTAGGGCTTATTTCACAGCCCCACAAATACTCACAGATACTCACAGATACTCACAGATGATTTGAGACACTTTCAGACATTCACAGATACTTGCAGATACTCACAGATACTCACAGATACTCACAGACTGCCCCAGACACACAACCACAGAAACAACGAGAGAGAGAGAGAGAGAGAGAGAGAGATGCACCTATGAGTCACTGAAGGTATCATACACACATAATAATAATAATAATGGTTGTCCCTCGTGTAACGAGGATGGCCGACCCAAGGGCCACCCAGGCGTGAATTTGTTGAAGGTGTAGAAGCTGTCGCCAACACAACAACCACACCCTGAGTTAACGAGCTGCCTGACCCAGTGTCAAGGAATAGTCAGAGAAGACCGGACAACTCGCCAACTGCACTGGCTAACCATTAGTCTGGAATACGTTCCGTAAGTTGATTAACATCCAGGTCCCCAATTACTGCTGGGTAGACAGAGGCAAATGGCGTAAAGAAACTTGCCCATAGTTTCACCCTTCCCGAGGATCGAACTTGGGTCCACTAGCTTGCTAGGCGAACATGCTAACCATTACACCACAGGTCGACGAAGATATCATACTACCCAATAAATAAATAATAATAAACCTTTAATAAAAAACACAATTAAAACTCAGCAATATCATATGAATTAATTATTTTTTATGATCATAGGTTAAAATTGTCATAAAAAATGGTACTATTAATGTTGGGAATAATGATCGTACGTCCGGCAGTGAGTTGTGTTGATCGTACGTCCGGCAGTGAGTTGTGTTGATCGTACGTCCGGCAGTGAGTTGTGTTGATCGTACGTCCGGCAGTGAGTTGTGTTGATCGTACGTCCGGCAGTGAAGTTGTGTTGATCGTACCGTCCGGCAGTGAGTTGTGTTGATCGTACGGCAGTGAGTTGTGTTGATCGTACGTCCGGCAGTGAGTTGTGTTGATCGTACGTCCGGCAGTGAGTTGTGTTGATCGTACGTCCGGCAGTGAGTTGTGTGGTGATCGGCCGTCCGGCAGTGAGTTGTGTTGATCGTACGTCGGCAGTGAGTTGTGTTGATCGTACGTCCGGCAGTGAAGTTATGGTGATCGTACGTCCGGCAGTGAGTTGTGTTGATCGTACGTCCGGCAGTGAGTTGTGTTGATCGTACGTCCGGCAGTGAGTTGTGTTGATCGTACGTCCGGCGATGAGTTGTGATCGTACGTCCGGCAGTGAGTTGTGTTGATCGTACGTCCGGCGGTGAGTTGTGATCGTAAATCCGGCAGTGAGTTGTGTTGATCGTACGTCCGGCAGTGAGTTGTGTTGATCGCTGCGTCCGGCAGTGAGTTGTGTTGATCGTACGTCCGGCGATGAGTTGTATTGATCGTACGTCCGGCGAAGTGAGTTGTGTTGATCGTACGTCCGGCAGTGAGTTGTGTTGATCGTACGTCCGGCAGTGAGTTGTGTTGATCGTACGTCCGGCAGTGAGTTATTAGTATTGTTGTGTTGATCGTACACCTGGCAGCAAATTTCTACCATATTTATAAGTTCTCTTGAGTGAGTGAGTCAACTTTAGCATTCATAGAGCTAGTTTATGCAGTTAGAAGTTAGACATAAGGGTAGAAATGGAAATAGATAAAGGTACAGACATAGAGATGGAATGATACATACATACAGACAGACAGACAGACAGACAGACAGACATAGACAGAAGGATAAACAGACAGACAGACAGAGGGATAAACAGAAAACCAAACAGACAAACAAACAGACAGACAGACAGACAGACAGACAGACAGACAGACAGTACTTACGTGTAGTGTGGTGGAGGGTGACCTTGCGCCACACAAGGGAGGGTGACCCTGGCCCCAGCTTGGGTCACCACACGACCTGCTCTCTCGTTCATCTTCGGTGGTACTGACCCTTGGGCCTCTGTAACATAAGGGTGATAATGATAATAATGGTGGTGGTGGTGGTGGTGGTGGTGGTGATGGTGATGGTGGTGGGTGTGTTCTGGGTGGTGGTGGTGGGTGGTGGTGGTGGTGAGGTGTGGTGGGGTGGTGGTGGTGGTGGGTGGTGGTGGAGGTGGTGGTGTTGGTTGGTGGTTGGACATGTGTGTGTGTGTGTGTGGTGTGTGTGTGTGTGGGGCCTCCCCCTGATCTCTCTCTCTCTCTCTCTCTCTCTCTCTCTCTCTCTCTCTCTCTTAATCCTCCCATCCACCTACAAAACTTTCCCTACTTTCCCTACTATCTCAGGCACATTCCCCTCCTACTTTCTATTGAGGAGAGAGAAAGTATTATCACAGCCTCTGCCAATAACTCTTGACAATAAATGATATAATATAAAGTTATAGACGCCTGAATCCTTATCATAGCGTTGGATCCTACTTGGTTGTGAAGGAAAGGGTGTTCGGTCCTTTGTGTGGCGCTGGAGTTCTTATCTTTTGTTGCGTCTGATTGTCTGTTTCTGTCTGTTTCTGTCTCTATATCTGTCTTTGTCTGGCTGTCTGTCTGTCTATTTCATTTTGTTTCTTTGTTTTTTATATTTTTCGTATTTCTCTCTCTCTCTCTCTCTCTCTCTCTCTCTCTCTCTCTCTCTCTCTCTCTCTCTCTTTCTCTCTCGTTCTCTCCTTTTCTCCCTCTTCTTGTCTCCCTGTCTCCCTTCTCTCTCTTTCCCGAACTTTCACCCTCTCTTCCCTTCTCTTTACCTCTCCCTCTCTCCCTCTTTCTCCCTACCAACCCCCTCTCTCTCCCTCTATCCGTCTCCCTATCTCCCCCTCTCCCTCTTTCTCCCTACCAACTCCCTCTCTCCCCTCTCCCTCTCTCCCCTCTTTCTCCCTGTATTCTCATGACATTTGAAGGTCAATTTGAAAGCGGCAACACCTGGAAAAGTTAAGTCTGTAAAAACAAATTGCTTTCTCTATACGACTTTCACTTTTGCAATGAAAGAGACTGTCCGTAAAGGATCCGTAAATGGTTAAATAAAAATACCCATTAAAAGTGAAATAGAGAGTATAAAAGAAAGTAGAGAAAGTATAAGAGAAAGTTAAAAAGAAAGTATAGAAAGTATAAGAGAAAGTTAAAAAGAAAGTATAGAAAGTATGAGATAAAGTTAAAAAGTATAGAAAGTATAAAAGAAAGTTTAAAAAGTATAGAAAGTATAAAAGAAAGTTAAAAAGAAAGTATAGAAAGTGAGAGAGAAAGTAGATAATTTAAAAAGAAAGTTAGGGAAAAGCACTAGAGATAATTAAAGTAGAAGTAAAGAAAATATAATAGAAAGTTCAAATGAAAGTTAATTAGAAAGTCGAGAAAGTACAACTAGGATACACAGTCAATGGCACAGTGGTTATGATACTGAATAAGCGACCTAATGTACCCGGTTTCGGCTCACAAACTTTCATAAGAGACAAAGTATTTTATCTCAAGTACTTTTATTATTAACTTTTACTATTCATTGGTACTTTCTCTTTTTAAAACTTTCACCTGTCACACACAAACAAACACAGAATGCGTCTACACACACACACACACACACACACACACACACACGGGTCCGAGATATAATGAGTGTCGGATTTTTCCTTAATGAGGAGACCGGAGGAGGAGGAAGAGAGAAGGAAGAGGAGAAGGAAGAGAAGGAGGAGAGAGAGAGCATATCAACTAACCACAATAATAATGATAAGCAAGCATCTGGCAACACACTCTACTGCGCATGCGTCAACCTCCACATGTAAACAAACACTACCAAGGTCTCTGTCACTACCTCAAACACCTCTCTCCTTTAGCCCCTCTCTCTCTCTCCCTTTTACCTCCCTCCCTTACCCTCTCTCCCTCCCTTACACCTCTCTCCCTCCCTTACACCTCTCTCCCTCCCTTACCCCTCCTCCCTCCCTCTCTCCCTCCTTACCTCTCCCCTCCTTACCCTCCCTTACCTCTACCCCCCTTTTACCCTACTCTCCCCTCCCCTCCTCTACACTCCTGTTGATCCTCTATCCCTCTCACCTCTCTCCTCTACCTCTCTCAGGCTGGTGGTTGAAGTAGCTGAGTGAGGCAGGGGCGTGTGGCTATATTATAACGCGTTGACTCCAGCGCCTCCATTATACCGTCATTATGGAAATCAGTCTCTCGCCTCCTCTTCCCCCCCCTCTCTCTCTCCTCCTCTTCCTTTCCTCTTCCCCTCCTCCCCCTTCCTCCTCTTCCACCCCCTCGATCAATTCCTTCCCCCTCTTCCTCATCCCCTCCAGTACCCTCTTCCTCCTCCTCCTCGAATGCCTCCTCTTCCTCTTCCCCTCCTCCTCTCCCATCACTCCTCCTTCCCCCCTAAGTGTAATAGAAAATTAAGCCGATTCGAACCCTTGAATGAGCTAGAGGTTCGGTGGTTCAGTGGTTCAGAGAGAGAGAGAAAGAGGACCAGTGACATAAAATAAGAAAAATTTAACACACCTTAGAGACAGACACACACACACACACACACACCTTATCCTCAGAGTGTGAATACAATAATCACATAAGGGTTGGACTCACACTTCAGAGTTGAGGGTTGTCTCTGATAACACGGACCAATCCTGGCAAACTCTCATTCTCTCTCACTTTCTCACTATCTCTCTCCTCCTCATACCTCCCTCCTACACTCTCTTCCTCCCTCCCCCTCCCCTCCCTCCCTCTCCTTACCTCCATCCCTCTTCCCCTCCTCCCCTCTCCCCTCCCTCCCTCTCCTTACCTCCCTCCCCTCCTCCTTGCCTCCCTCCCTCTCCCCCTCCCTCCCTCCTTACCTCCCTCCCCTCCCTCCCTCCCCCACTCTCCCACAGACGCCTATATTTCCTCCCTCCCCCACTTGCCACTGTTTCCCCAATTCTCCCATTTTCTCCCTCTTTCATGAGGGTGTAAATCTCTCTCTCTCTCTCTCTCTCTCTCTCTCTCTCTCTCTCTCTCTCTCTCTCTCTCTCTCACTATCTCTCACCATCTGCCACAGGTCGTCAGCACCATCAGCTGTTCACCATCAACCACCATCCATCGCCCTTCCTGACAGCTGGTTGATTTCACCCTAAGATTGATGGCCTAGTGCTGACAGCTGCTGACCTCTCCCTGGTAGTATTGGTAGTAGTAGTGGTAGTAGTTGTGTAGTGGTAGTAGTTAGTAGTTGTGGTGGTGGTAGTAGTTGTGTAGTAGTAGTAGTAGTAGTAGTAGTAGTCAACAGTATAGAAGAGTTTGATTAATATTCATGTATGGAGATCCTAAGGCATTGAGACCTCTACACGCTCACCACTCTCTCACTTTCTCACCTCACTATCCTCACTCTCACCTCCTCACTATCCTCACTGTCTCACCTCCCTCACTATCTCACCTCCCTCACTCTCCTCATTATCCTCACCTCCTCATTATCCCTCACTCTCACTTCCTCACTCTCCTCACTCTCCCCTCCTCCTCTCCCTCCCCCCATGACCCAACATGGTCGAGCAGTCAAGCAATTAACTTAACATCCCTGTGACGTCACGTGTGTGTGTGTGTGTGTGTGTGTGTGTTGTGTGTGTGTGTGTGTGTGTGTGTGCGTGTTTACCATCATACATAACCCTACACACACACACACACACACACACACACACACACCCCTAACCTCTTCTAATCCCAGTATGGTCTAAGCCCCCATAACCCAGGGTATCTCAGAGGCGACGGTCATCCTAGGGTTAAAAACATTCACCCACATATCTCTTAAATCTCTGTCGGGTTAATGCCACAAATTTATCTCATGGTCCCCGACGGAATCTCGAGGAGTGTGTTTATATAAGGGAAGGTTGGGGAATTTAAATGGCTCTCCGACGGAATGAAGAATTGTATGTATGTCTGTGTCTTGATCTATCTATCAGAGAAAAAAGAGAGAGAGAGAGAGAGAGAGAGAGAGAGAGAGAGGAAAATAACACCAGGGTTACAACGATGGGTGAACTCATTAACTCCGGGTGACTGAGGGTCCTTCGGGCTAATATAAACAAATCCGTTGACTTTTATTGTGTGTAAAGAGAGAGAGAGAGAGAGAGAGAGAGAGACCTGGCTGAGGAAAGTAATAAGGATTTCCTGTGTGAGGTAACGGAAGGAAGTGAGATATTCTCTCCTTAAGAGAGGTGGAGGAGGAGGAGGAGGAGGAGGGAGGGGAGGAGGAAGAGGAGGAGGAGGAGGAGGGAGGAAGAGGAGGAGGAGGAAGAGAAGGAGGAGGAGGAGGAAGAGGAGGAGGAGGAGGAGGAGGAGGAATTAAAACAACGAAGGGGGAGAAAAAAGAGGGAAGACTGGAAGAAGAAGAAGAAGAAGATAATAACAAGAAGAAAGAATGAAAGAAGAAGAAGAAGAAGAAGAAGAAGAAGAAGAAGAAGAAGAAGAAGAAACAGCAGTAAACATCTCAAGAAATAGTGGTAAGTTCTCTCCTCACTTCACTACAATCAGGCGCCTATTTTCTCCTCCCATCAAAACAAAGTAACGTTTATATATACCTTCCCTCAAACGTTTCCAACCAGTGAGCATTAAATCACATCCTTCCTTACAAACGTTTAATTACCAATCACTTAAAGATTTACCCTAAACGTTTGTAACTAATTATTGACAGAGAAATTCGAAAAACGTTTCCTAACATTCCCTTAAAACGTTTCTATCATCAATAACTGACCTCACACTTCCTATAATCGTTCCTCCCACCAGTACTTGACCTCCCACTCCCTATAATCGTTCCTCCCACCAGTACTTGACCTCCCACTCCCAATAATCGTTCCTCCCACCGGTACTTGACCTCTAACTCCCTATAAACGTTCCTCCCACCAGTACTTGACCTCTAACTCCCTATAAACGTTCCTCCCACCAGTACTTGACCTCTAACTCCCTATAAACGTTCCTCCCACCAGTACTTGACCTCACATCATCTACACAAACGTTTCTGTCACTGATAACATA